CTCCCCACAGTGGTATATGGTATGTGAAGCCTGAAGCTCAGCAGTAAACTTTAGACCAGACAGCAGAATCTGCAGACAGGAGAGATTTTTTGAGGAATACAAGCAAGTATTTGGTTGTTCTAAGAGGCTATTAATCATAAAATATTTAACAACCCGTGAGATGGCAGTGTCACCATTGTGAAATTAGCTGAGCGTTATGATAAATAGGTATGTATGGACAAAATAAGTTGATCAATATAACTTTTCTGCAAACCCTTCATATCTTCAGTACATGAGGTCCTCGTAGTTGATCCTACTGATTTATATTGAAATCCTGTTCATGTATACTCAAGAAATAAGCCCCATTGAGTACGACCCCCCCCCAGTATAGGATTGTAGAATTAAAGAACATTCAGCCCGCATCCACTGTACCATACTTAGGAAAAGCGTTTGAGCATATTTTGGCAGCCCAACTCTAGGTGTCTCTGGACAAACCTGATTGCTTGCATGCGCTCTACTTGGGTTTCTGTCCTGTTTTGGGCACCAAGTGCCTCAGGTGTTGTGTTCATAGGTGCCAACTCTGAGGGGCCCTGGGTTCTTTGCCACTCACAAAATTTCCACTGTGGGTGCCTAAACATGTCCACAGCTGCAGTGGGGCCCAACAGAGGCCCCACCAGGGAGGGGGAGGCCCTGGCCCAGTTGCTGCTACCGGAGAGCCACCAGAGACAAGGTAGCGGGTGGGAGGCAGAACATGTATGAAGAAGAAGAAGAAGAAGAAGAAGAAGAAGAAGAAGAAGAAGAAGAAGAAGAAGAAGAGGAGGAGGAGGAGGAGGAGTTTGGATTTGATATCCCGCTTTATCACTATCCTAAGGAGTCTCAAAGCGGCTAACAATCTCCTTTCCCTTCCTTCCCCACAACAAACACTCTGTGAGGTGAGTGGGGCTGAGAGACTTCAAAGAAGTGTGACTAGCCCAAGGTCACCCAGCAGCTGCATATGGAGGAGCGGAGACGCGAACCCAGTTCCCCAGATTACGAGACTACCGCTCTGAACCACCACACCACACTGGCATGCACATGATGGCGTGAGTGACGTCATGACATCACGTTGTGCGCGCGCGCCATTGGGCACCCAAAATCCTGGGCCCAGGTCGGCACCACTGGTCCTGTTGATGGCTACAAGGCTCCCACAATGTTCATGTAACCCCCTATCATGGTCTGTTTAGGTCATGCTGGCTGGAGCTGATAGGAGTTGGAGTCCAATAAGTCTTGAAGGCCACAGGTTCCCCACCTTTGCATAAGCAGTATAGTGGGAGACAAACATGATACATTCGAGGACTGTTTGGAGCTAAAACCAAGAGGTATGGAGAGATCACTCAGCAAAGCACATTTCACAATGCACCCTAAGCTCCCACCAATACAAAAAGAAATACTTGTTTTGTAATGGTCTTGCGTGTATATGATAGTGGCTGTGGGTCGTCCAGCTTGGCTTGCCTCAGTCTGACTCCTGAATTGTTCTTAACTAATAGGATTCACACCAATTATTTTGGCAGCTGTTGCTTACTCAGAAAGCAGAGTCCCTCCTTTGTGTAGTTCTTTCGGAGAGAGGCTGTTTTTAATCCTCCAGACATGGATCCACTCCACTGCATCAACAGATGAAAGTAGCGATTCAGCTTTCACAAGAATGCCACTGCCTTGGAGTTCAAGGGACCAAAGGTGACTGGCGGTCTTTGTTTGAGAGCAATGACAGGAAGCCACCTGAAAAAATAATGGCATAGTGCTCTTTGTTCTAAGAGAGATTTTAAGGAAATGACTTTTTTCTCTCAGGATAGCGTTTATATTTTCCACAAGTGTATATTTCTTCCTCAGTTACTCTAAACTAAAATTTAGTTATGTAGAAATTATATATGTGCTCTGCTTCATAATTTAGAATTAAAAAAGGGTGGGGGAGAATGACCTATGGATTATGTGCATGATTCATTCAAAGTTGAGTACTTTATGTATTAAGAGCATGCTTAACTTTGACTTCAAAAAAGTTTCACGTTAACTGTGATGTGCATTCTGTCTGTTTTAGGATTTGCTTTCTTCAGGGCTGCTGAAAATTTGGTATGATGATGAAACATTCTCCTGCTTTCATTGCTGTTCTAAAGACTGCATAGCATGTTAAGGTACTTCCTGATGGAGGTTTTTCTTGGGCACCCACTGCCTCAAATCTGCCTTTGAGATGCCCACCCCTCCTAGTTCAAATGGTAAACTTGGGACAAGCAGGTCAGTCAAGATCAGCTGTCTCAGCCCCTTAAAGCAAGTGGTACAAAACCCCCGGCTGCTTTATATCTTGCATGCAATTCTTTTTCTGGGAGAGCACTTGTGTTTTTAATAGCAGAACGACAAAAGACATTCTGCAAGTGACATTTCTATGCAATGTGGATGCATTGATAGAAAAGCTGCCACCTGCCCATGCACATTAGAAATTGCCCAGGCTTGTGAAAGAGTGTGTTTTTTTTAAGCATGCCCTGATAATTTGAAATGCATAAATTCATATTTAAATATGTATAGGCTAAAATTCAGAACTGGAAGGCTAGGGCAAAATGTCTTACTCATCTACTACATGGAACATTTGAAGCATGGAGTTTTTTGAAAAATCGACTAAGAGTGCTTTGTTGTTTATTTCCATGCTTAATGGTTTTTAAAATGCATGTTAAGCTCAGTTACTAAGTTGCCGCTGCACTTCTTCAGGTAGTTAGCATGAAACTAGGTAGTTTAGCTTGGATCATTCTCCGTGATACAGCTGGTCCCCCACCTCAGCTGCCTTGCGTGCTCCCTCAGGCAAAGTTAATTCTTTATCTGCCATGGGAATTGTCTGTGGTAGGGGGAGTGTCAGCCTTACTGAAGTTTTTTATGATGAGTCATGACATGCTGACACTCCAGTTCAGTACACAACAGTCAGAGAAGTGTATAAATTAGCTGTTGCCTTCTGGAGGGTAGCTTCTGGTACACTCTTCTTTGAAGACTGTTCACTTCATCCTTTAATATTAACTCTCTCTATGTAAGTATCATGATTAGCTCGCTGGTGTTTTAATGTGTATCAAGCCACCTATTTACACATTGGTTGGTAACTATTGTACATGTTTTTGGAGCGTCATTCAGTCACATGGGTTGTTCTGTTTTATAAAGTTACCAAGTTCCACCACTTTGCTTCTAGGGTTTCTGATAAGGACTCATCCCATTGGTCCCTCTATGTCTATGACCTAGAGGTAGCTCTTTTTGACAAACTTGTTTTTTTAAAAAATGGACCAAGAAATTAGCAGACTCGAACCTCTTCCAAGCTGGGTGCATTTTTTAAAACAGGTATAAAGTTCTAAAAATAAACAATCCTAGCGAAAATTCACATTTGTGTTTGGAGAGACACTGCATTGTACTACTGCCTAAGAAAATACTGGTTGAGTGTGCAAAGCCGCTATGTGTGAACAGGCACTTCATAAGTCAGCAGACAAGAATATTATTGGATGCTTTGTATAACTTGTTCTGAGCTCTTTATTGCACTGCAATGTAACTTCCTGCACTTGTTCTGAACTAACTATTAAACACATACCCAGTGTTCCTAGTGAATTTTTTTTTTCCAAATGTGAAACCCTTTGTGATCAAAATGGCTATATCTACACACAAGAGGGAGGGATCAACAGGCTTGGGGAAATCTCAATTTTGATAAAGTAGGAAAAGTTTTTAGGGAGAGAAAACCACCACCACCACCAGAGGGGGGAAAAGTCATCTCTTCAAACATCCCAAGGAAGAGCAATCGTACTCAAGAGTGCACAGAATGTCAACTGACCATGGTGGAGGGGAGAGCATAAAACGTGGGGGACAGTAGAATGGAATATTCTAAGAAAGGCTTTGGGTAGTTGGTTGGAGACCTGAACCAGAGCTCCTCACATTTTGTTGCAGATCTCCCTCCCTCCCTCTCATCCTATAATAGCCTGGTGCTATTTGGACTGATAGTGACTAGTCCTCCTTGCAACAGTCTTGCAATCAATTACAACGTTCAGCCCTTGAGGAAATATGGAACCTGAATGAATTCTGACAGCTGTGATGGGGCAATCAGCCTGCTCAATTGTTTGGGCCACCAGAAGCAAAATGGCTAAGTTGTGCTAGGCAGGGAACAAAGAGAGGCAGGAGTGCAGGGATAGAAACCACCCACCAAAATGTCAGCACGCAAGCAAACAAGCACTTATGACTTGTAGTGATGGTTAGGTGTTTTTGAATGGATTTTCCAGAGTGAGGTGATTAAATGCTTTTAAAAGTACAGGATGGAATTCTGAAAACATCCTTGCCGAGTAGATGCTGTGAAAAACCTGTGTGAGAGAGCAGCCCTGATTCCACAACAAGCTCCCACCTGGAAGCATCCTTGCAGAATTAGGCTCAGATCCAGAGTGACTTCAGTGCACCCAGCAGTGCTTTCAGAAGTAGGCGCTCCTCTCATGGCTTGACATTCTGCTTCCAAAAGGAACTTCAGAATTGGCTTCTAATACAGCTAAAGTTGTTGCTGCCAAAAGGGTAAAAAAAATACCATTAGTATTCTCAAACAGGGAGTGGACTTTGGATACATAAAGATTCCTTAAATTGGGTCTCAATAAACTATCCTGGTAAGTTTAAGATCTGCTACAAAATTACAATGGAGGCAGGGGAAAGAGAACATGAAGGCAATTTAATAATATCACACTGTTTCGCTCCATGTTGGCCTTGTTTTCTTAATGGTTCAAGCCCCATTAAGCCCTCAAAAACATTCTGAAATACTTCTAACAAATTCTAGGACTGAAGTTAGAATTTGTGCTGCATTGCTCTTAAGCATATTTACTCAGAAGTTGCCCCCCCCCCCCCGAGGTTAAGGTGACTTCATGACTAGGTTTTGGATTTCAGCCTTCACTTCTTGTATCTTTTCTGCAAAAGAGGTCAGCTGAATCCCTATTTGTCACGATTCCTTAATTATCATGGAGCCTCTAATCCAGGCCACAAATTCCTCACTGCCCATTCTCCCTGAGTCTGTCTGTCTCTCTCTCTTTTCCCCCCTTCAGAATGCGTATCTAATAGCAACCAATGACTTTTCCTATTTTCTCACTTGGAATCTGTTTTGGAGCTTGGAATTGCTATCTCACTTGAATCAGTAACATCTGTGAGTAGTGGGCCAGCTTGACTTAGACAGATTTCCTGCATTTTAAGGTTTTGTTTTTTCCTTCCCCCTCTGAGGAGATTGCTCTGGGACAATTACATTTAATGCCTCTTATTTCTTTCCCTTGCTCTGGGTTAGCTTGACTTGAAGGATTTGAAAGTGACTTTGAGGAACATTACCACCATTTTGAAAAAAAGTTCCACTTTCAAAGCACTTGAAAAGAAAAAGTTTGAGGGGGATTCCTAAAGCTGTATTGCAGCTTGCAGGTATGGCTTTGATTTTTCCTTTTCTTGGCAGGCTTGCTAGTTTTCCATTCCCTTTCAGAAACATTATTGGGTGACTAGAGGACAGGCATTTAAAAAAGGAAGAAAGAAAAACTGTTATATTAGACAAGAGCAGACAGAAAAGGTGCTGCAATTTCACGCTCAGAATTAAGTAGGCACTTTGACTTAAAATGCCCATTAGAAAATATGCTTTTCAGTACCAATAGCATGATTGTGTATTTTTAAAATATATACTGTATCTGGTGTTTACAAAAGACAGAAAAATATTATTTTATTAAATTCAAAATATGTTGAGATGTCTCCTCTCTCTGCCATAGGAATGGTCTCTAGCAAGGTACTGTTTTTTCACCAAATTAAATGATTGTGCCTTGGCAGACTAAAGAAGGATGTGTTTGCTGCTATCCAAACTGCAGTTTTTCTGTTTTGAAGACTTCTTTGTCGTGGCAAGTGATCTTCTTGTTGCTGGTTCAGCAGACAACAAAGGTGTCACTCTCCCTTTCTAGATGGCTGTTAATAAATTATTCATGCAACTAGCTAGGAATCTGGATTTTCATGTGAATTGCAGTGGCATTTTTTTCTTCTTCTCCTGCAGACTCCCACCATTTAAATAGACTTTTTTTTTTTTACACACCTGCATGCTTCAGGCAATCAGGTGTTTAAAATCACAGATGGGCTGTTCTGCTCTGTCTCTCTCCCCCTCCCCTCCAGTGAGTTGCTTATCAAAGGAGTCCTGTGGATACTTTTGTCTTTTTATCCATTCTTGTGTGGGAATTCTACCCACCCCCCTAAACTAATTAGCATGAGGGGAAAGGGGACTCTAACGGGACTCTGCTAATTAGCATTGGGGATCCCGTAACTTGGTTTATTAATTTTAAACTTAAAAGATGCAGGTGCATTTTCAGCCTTGCTCTGTAGGAGAGAGAAGCTTTAGAAGTCCTGTATTGCCCCTTGCAATTGAGAATAACTGGTGTGTGTGTGTGTGTGTGTGTGTGTGTGTGTGTGTGTGTAAAGTCTGTCAGCAAATTGTCTAACTGCTACTGGAACTGAGAACTGTGTACAATGAAAGGACTGATTATGTTCATACTACTCTGTTTTCCCATGGCAAAAAAAGAGTGAGCCCTGCAGCTAACAACAAAAGGTGGGTTACTAGCAGCCTCAGTGTCTCGAGGAAACAGATATTTTGCATAAGAGGATTTTTTAAAATCCAGATTTGTGAAAGACCCGTAACTGCGATTTGAGCTGTTGTTTTAAGTTGGAAGGTGAAAAGTGAACATTAGAAAGCGTAACCAGTTTCCTAGTTGTGGTAATGAAGTAAAATAACTGTCTGATAAGGGTGGATAAGTTGTTATATTGTTTTACAGCAGCAACAATGTACAGCAATTAGAGATGTCCATATCAGCAGGGAGCTGCAGTGCACCTCATAAACGAGCAAGGGTTCTCTGACCCCTTTTGTACTGTAACAGGAATCATCAGTGTGTTGTACTTCCTGTTTTGGTGCTTCATCTGTAACATTCAAAAATGGAAAATTGCCATCTCGTTCCCCCATATGAAGATACATGTAATGTCTTAATGGAGGAGACTCATTGACTCTGTTTTTGAACTTTACAGAAGCAGAGGTATGCTTCATGCTTCCTGATTTTAGCACTTAATGGAATGTGTGCAATCACTAGCCACACTCAGTTGATTTCCTGAAGGCACAAAGGCTTAAAGAGGTGGTGGGAATACACATGCAACTATTGCCCACAACCTTCCCTTGTCTGGTGGACTGCTTTTCGCACCTTCACATGTTCAGCATGAAAATCCGCAGCAGGTTTAAAAATATGTTCAGTTCAGACACATCCCAGCAGTTGAGAACTCTGCCTTATCAGAGTTTCTAAATGTGGGGAGGTTTCTGCATGTGTTCTGTTGAACACATGTGGAAACTCCCTTTGGGTGTGTGGAGGTCTGAACAGTCGGCTGTATGTGGGGATGTTGGAACGACTACAGTTTTACTTCAACTCAAACACAGCAGGGACCTACCCATCCCTGACATCAGGCTTGGGAAAAGGTGGACTTGGTTTGCCGGAAATGGCCTAGGCAGGCAAATCTCCAAGCCCTCTTGGGCCTAATTTGGCTCCTCACCACTGACTTAGACAATCTATGATTGTCATAGATGACAACCTGTGTGTTCTTTGCCTTTAAATGAACTTATGTGTTTTATATTTGGTCACTTTAAAAAATTGTGACACTTGGAGTTTACGCACTTGTACGTACATAATTGTATTTTGGAGTCAAGATGCATTCATGCCAAACTCGGAGACTTATCTTCTGAAAACTAGGGGGATGGGCTAAAGGCCTGAAGGAAAGAGATACATATATACACCAAAATTGTTTTCTCAAAATGCATTCTCAAACTCTCCCTGAAAGCCGAACAATGGGGGAAATAATTGACAAGGGATAAGTGCAAGATAGTAGGAACTCCCCACACTTATTTCTTTTAAGAAAAGAATGGGATTGGGGAGGATTTCAATTTGCTCCATAATTTGGAGTGAACTCCACTGATATACATCTGACAGGCCATTCTTGGATCAGAACATAGACATGTGCAGAATATACGGTAGACATGTGCAGTGCTTTTTTTCTTAAAAAATGTACTCTAATTTTGACTCAAGAAAATCACCTTTTTATAGTTCGAATCGGGGAAATAAGTAAAATGAAATAAGTAAAATGAAAAAAGTACAAAGATTCACAAAATGTTTAGGGGTATGCATACCCCTGCGTCCCTCCAGAAAAAAAGCGCTGGACGTGTGTATTGGATCACACCTAGCATGGTCAGCTCTTACACCGAATTAATTTTCTCAACGCTCCTAGTCCATAAAGAATTGGAGAGCGATTAAATGGTTTTCATTTTTGGGGGTCTTGGTAGCATGTAAATTACTTCTCAGAGTGGGAGGAAATGGGAGGATTCTACAAATTAATTATACTATAAAGTAGTTACAATTTAATACTCTCTTTTACCATTAAATCTTATGGAATTGTAACAACCTGTCTGCATATTATTTATTGTGGCAGTAAAATAAATGTTGGACAAAATAATCTCTTATATTGTCTCATAAATGGTAAAAGGAGGAAGTATTTTTAAATATTACACCAATGTGTCTTGTCATTTATTTATGATAGTCGGGGAAGAATGGCTTGAGGAGCACACTACAGTGAAAACACCTCAGAAGGAGAAGGGCCTGCTGGGCTTGTCTTCATTCCTCCTCTTGTTATCAAATGGCGTGATAATGGAAAGAGGAAGAAATAGTCACGACCTATACAGGCACATCCTGGGCTTCCAAAAATAGTTGACAATATTTAAGCACAATCAAATAAAAATAGTCAATTGATGGGTCAGTTTAGTTCAGCCTCTCATTTTTCTCACCCTTTGTTAGGACCAGATAAGTACAAGCTATATCCTAGGTGGGATATAGGGAGGAGACAAGCTGTGGTTCTAGTTGACTCCCAAGCAATGGACACCAGCAGATTGGGATGGTTGCCAGCCTTGCTGAATGTGGAATAATATTTGAAAGGCATTTGGCTGTTTGTTTTTTACCGATAAGCAATTGTTAGAACTGATGCAATAATAAACCTGAAGGACATAATGGAGTTCATGTTGTCAAATAGCTTTAAACATGTTTTGAATTGCAGACACTGGGCTAGCTCTAAATTAAGTTGGTTGACCTTGGGTCCCATTGATTTCAAGTTGATCATGACTTAAGTCCCATTAATTTTAATGGGAACTGAAAGTAGTTATTTTAGTCTGGATTATATGAGTTCTTCCATCTTCCATTGTATTCTAATAAAGCTTTCCTATGCAGATTGACTACTTTGAAAGGGGAAGAGTTTCCTCTGCTATTTGTCTTTGTTTTTGCTTTTGCCTTCTTTGTTGGAGGGCCTTTTACCACTGGCCTAGGAATATGCAAGCTGCATCTGCCTTCCAAACATATTTCCCTCAGTATGTTCTTTCATGAAAAGAGGCAATGACATTTCCCACTAGGTGGAGTGAGGGAAAACATTGCAAGTACAGTGGTACCTCGGGTTAAGAACTTACCGGTAATTCGTTCCGCAGGTCTGTTCTTAACCTGAAACTGTTCTTAATCTGAGGTACCACTTTAGCTAATGGGGCCTCCTGCTGCTGCTGCCACACCGCCGCCATGCGATTTCTGTTCTCATCCTGAAGCATAGTTCTTAACCCAAGGTACTATTTCTGGGTTAGCAGAGTCTGTAACCTGAAGTGTCTGTAACCTGAGGTACCACTGTATAATGGAAACCAACTTTCTCTGCCTTCTTGAGTGTGATTGTATCTGTGAGTTTTAGGGCACAATCTCAATCCACAATCCAGCAGAGGCAGGTGGGCAGAGCTGCTGTGCCCCAGAGACTTGAAGCTTTCTTCTGTGCCTCCTCTGTCCAAAGTCTATGAGAAATAAAATCATCATTCCCCAAGTCGATAGGGAACAACAGCACGGGCAGAAGTCTTAGAAAAGGATGTTGGCAGAGTGGAAGCAGTGAAACGTTGCATGGAAATTGGACCCCACTCATACTAAACTTTCTCCTTGCGTATTTTATTATGCATCTGAAAAGCATGTTTGTCTTCTAAGCTATCGTTCTGCATTTGCGTTACCTCTTCTTGTTCAAGTAGAGTAACTCTGATTTCTTTGAATAACAGGGGAGCGTTTGCTGTCCGCTGAACACTGTCAATTGGCACATGTGAATCACTCCGTTGTAACATCCTAGCTCCTGAACTGCCTTAGAGAAAAGCATTACTGCTAAGTAACTTCGTTTTATTTCTTGAAGATAAAATGAGCCAAAGCACATTTAATCAAAGGGATAGCGGAAGTTCTATTTCTTGAGCAAAAGAGAACAGTAGTCCCAAAATACTATTGTAGCAATTCTTGCTTTGAATGACTTAAAGGAAGGAGCAGCACCCAGAAGATGGAAATTATGAATGCTTTCATAGCATTGACTATTTTTATTGTCCTTGAGAATCTTGAACCTCTAAGAGGAGCCAAGCTGGTCCTGCTGAATAAAGAAATCCACGTTGAAAGAGGACGCACTGCGTACATAACTGAAAATGAGCTACAGTTCAATATTTCTAAGGAGAGAGATTCTTGCAAGGTAGAGGTGGTTTTAAATGAGCCTGTGACACAAAGAGTTGGGAAACTTACACCTCAGGTAAGTATCATTAGTCCAGTTTCTTATTGGCTTAATTTCTAATTAGATATGAAATGCAAGTCAGTTTGAATGGAATAGACATGTTAGCTTAGCCGTTCTCATGTTTATGGCTCCATTGTCTCAGTTCGAATCAAGTCATGTCACGAATCTCAGTTTGAATCAAGTCATGTCCTTGCCCAACATTTACACACCATAAAATTGCCTCTTGAATATGAGCAAATTGTGCATGCAAATGTGTGGGCATGGAAAAAAACAGCTTGCACATGAGTGGTCTTACCCTGTTCTCCTTGGGTTGGCTCAGAAATGAGCAGAACTCCCCCCCCCCCGCCGGCATTAGAAATAACCCATCTCCAGTTCACAAGCCAATCCAACATTTGCAAATAACCTACACATTCACCCAATCTCCTTCTCTCACAACCCACCTATTCCTTTCAACACAACTTACCCATCTTGGGCAGCAGAAGTGGTGCTCCAGGAACAGCAGAAGGTAACTCTATACCCCCCCTTCCCCTCTTCTGCTCAGCATCTTGTTTATGACCTTGGGCGGGGGGGGGGAGGGAAGCCCCTGTTGCACTTGGGAAACCTATTACTCAAGAGTAATAGGGTTTTGTAGGGTTTGAGGTATTGAGAAGCTGGAGCCTAGGGGCACTAAGAGTAAGGGGTTTAAGGGCTGCTGGAGGGTAAGTGAATAACTCTCTGCCTTGGGTTTTCATTTGTGGTCCTATACAGCTTGCCTCACTTTTGAATCGGGCTTTTACAAGCTTCATTCACTAGGCCTGAGCACTGAATTTTTGTGGAACAAGTCCATTTTGCTCATTATTTGTTTCTGTTTCTCCTGTTAGGTATTTGATTGCCATTTCTTACCCAGTGAAGTGAAATACATCCACAATGGTTGTCCACTGCTAAATGAAGACCGTGTGATGTTGAGAGTATACAGGTTTTGCCTCGTTTTCCTTGAATGCAGTTCTGCATATATAATTATTTTAGAAGGGCACATGTATTTGTTAGCATTCCAGGCTCTTAAACAAGGAGGTGCACATTGCCTTGCTATAGATAACCCCCCCCAAGAGGGCAAAAAGCAGCTTCAGGGGGCCATTCTAGTGGAAGAATTGCATTAAAGCAAAGGGTTAAGGGCAATCTCTTGTACCAGTTTTCTACTTTAGGTTGTAACCTCCAAAGCTGCATTCTTTCAAACAAACAAAAACAAAAAAACACACTGCTATTACAAAGGAATGAACCTTTGACTATTTTTGTTGTTGTAAATTTTTGTCTGCAGTTCTGTCATTTATCCATCCATAGTATTTCCTTCTGCCATTTCAGGAGTAGCTGCTGAGCCTATAAATAATTCTGTCAGGGAGGGGGGGAGAGTTATTCCCCATAACAGCAATGGAGCTTTGCTTTTCCAGATTGGAATTTTGACCCAAACCAATTAAACAACCTCCAAAGCCAGGCACACCGAAACTCGGCCCTCTAGCTGTTTTGGGACTACAACTCCCATCATCCCTGACCATTGGTAGGGATGCTGGGAGTTGTAGTCCCTGACCATTAGCTAGGGATGCTGGGAGTTGTAGTCCCAAAACAGCTGGAGGGCCGAGTTTGGGGATGCCTGTCCAAAGCACTTCAAGATCAAATCAGACTTGTTTCCAAAGTGCTGAACTGGGATCCGGACTGCAGCTTGTGGCCAATGCACACCCCTACTATCAATTGCTACTAGCTATGTTGGTTATGTGCTGTCTCTAGTACCAGAGGCTGTTATGCCTCTGGCCTGATCCAGCAGAGCTCTTTCTACATCATTATGTTTGTAATTCATTAACTGGTATTCTGTTGGAAAAATCAAAGTATATATTCTCTGTGCAGAACAATAAAAACAGCAGTTAAAAAGCTGATTCCTAGAATCAAGCAACCCTTAAAACTTTGTATATGGTGCCCCTAAAATGTTAGGAGGGAATGTTTTGTACTTACAGTCTTCTAAATTTCCATGCAAAGATTGTCACTGCTCACCAGGAAATATTTGCCGTCTCCCTTTTACAGGTTTACAGAACTGGAGACTGCTGTAGAGATGTTTACTCTTCATATAGTGATAAGAAGTCCCAAACCGAGTCTTGTTCAGTTTGGACAAGCATCTCTAGAAGTTCCAGAATTCTTTGGGATTTCTCAGCCAATTGACAGAAACATTTTGACTTTCAAGTACAATGGTTTAGGTAAAGCCTGCACAGTGAGGATCTTGTCGTCTGAATTACTGTTTCCTGCTGTTGGGCAAGTAGTTGTTGAGGACTCTAAAATACAGAAAAGTGAAGATGTGTCAACATACACCAAACAAAAAAAAGGTGATTTTTAATCTTATTTAACTCTCTTTCCCCTCCCCAGCTGTAAGCTCTTTCCCCAGAATTGCCTCCCTCTTTCTCACACTCAAAAATGTATTTCATCTTGAAACAGCTTAGCGTTGGCTTAGATGGAAGGCTTATTTCAAGCATCTGAGGGGACAGGGTGGCAGGATGGGTTCTACAGGCACCCTGTTGGGATATGTGAGCTTGTAGACACTGAACTGGCATTACATGGCCTGCGCTATGTACAGCAGATCTGGGGGGGATCCCTGATCCCTCACCATTGTCCAGCATGCACGATTCAATCCTTTAGACCAACTGTCTAGTTAAAAGGGGACAGTAAGATGCTGGGAGACAACATTAATTGGGTTCTCTTTCAGTTGGAAGGAGAATGAAGAAGAATGCATTCCCACTGTCCTGGTGGGAATATCTGCCCATGAATTATGAAAGTTTTGATCCAGATTAAAGCAAGGGTGTATTAAATAGATAGTGTTTTATTTTATCTAGAGATCTTCTGTTAACCCAGTCATTTAGATAAAAGAAGTTCTGCTGAATATGCAAATACTGTAGGTCATCACTACTGATCTAGAAGTTAAGTCTTGTGGCACTTCAGGGCATCAGAATTACCACTGGATTGGCCATGGTTCTCTGGCATGCAGATAATAATAATAATAACAATACTTTTATTGTTAATGTACAACCTGTGTACAATGAAATTAACCGAGCCTCCCCCCCCAAACACTCAGTCTCATTGCACTCTGTGTGCTTATCGCACAACATACAACCTCACAAGTCAGTTGCACTATGTGTCTTTAGTGTGCACTCCACAACCCCCTGTTTCAAAGATTGTGTAGCTTAAATTAGAAGATTGTGTAGTTTAAATTACAAGGTCATCCAAAGTCTTCATTCAGTATTCAGAATATGTAAATCCCTTAAAGGTTGCTTGTGTTATTAAATAAAAGAAAGATCATTTAGAAGGTCAGAAATAGTTTGTTCTAAAGTTGTGTTTCCACCTTAGCTGGACAACCCAAACCGCCTTGTCCCAGCAATGGTGCCTGCCATTCAGGATTAAAAGAAATACACCTTCTAAAGATGAGCTGTGAAGACTTTCTGGAGATGAGACTTAGGTACCAACACCTCAGTCCCCCATCACCTGATAAGGATTATATATCCATACAAGTAGAAATCAGAGACAAAAAGAGCAGATTTCAGCTACAGGTAAGGACAATGCAGTGAATCATATTTTCCACACAACTTTCTGTTGTTTTTCCATACTCCCAACCTCCCTCCAAAAAACTCTAGGAAAAAATTACTTGCATGTGAATTTCCCTGGCTATGTATCAGATTCAGTACATGCTGACTATGTGGCAAGATGGACACTTTATTGAACCCAGGAGGAGGAGGAACTAAATATAGCATCTCTCTCTCTCTCAGGGGAGCTGATGGAGTGGCCCTGCTTCCCATTCTGCCCCCTGCCTCACCCACTGCTGCACCTTAATGGAATGGAATATTACTATTACAATAGTATTTGGAAATTCAGTACAGTTCGCGGATTCATTGCATTAGTCATGTATCCATCACGAAATTTGTACTGAGAAGTGCAAATTTCAAAGGATGTCTGTTTTTTTCAGTTTGCATATTGTGAATTGGGTATTTTTGCCTTTTAATGCCAGGCTGAATTAAATTTCTCCCCAGTCCTACTTGGAGCACATTATTCCAGACAAAGGACTACCAGATACCACAAAATATATGTCTTAGCACTTGCTCCAAATGTTCTAAAACAGACCCTATTGATCATTTCCTCCTCCTCTGAAAACCAACCTTTTGAATCTGATAATAGTTGTTTTCAGTAGTTATCTTTTTTTTTTGTAATAATACCCAGTGAACCCAAATAAAGTTCCTTGAACTACATTTAAAAGCAATATATTAATGCCCCTCTTCTGCACTGACTGTGAAGAGACATTTGGTTTCCTTGTTTGTAGGCAGAAAATGTGTGGATTCCTGTAAGGATAAAAGGGGCCATTCCAAACAGACAACCTCAAGCTGCATTCATGTCCATGTTCATCTTGGAGATAGATGAGTTCATTCTTACTCCTCTCACGACAGTGACTTTGGATGCCGAAGATGAAGAAACCCCGAGGGAAAGATTGCTATTCAACATTACTAAACCTCCTCCTCAGGGATATGTTACCCACCTGGATGACCACTCCAAGGCCATTACGTCTTTCACTTGGCAGGATTTGTATGATACAAAAGTTGCTTTCCAGCCATCTAATATCTCTCATTCTGAGAGGCAGAACTATGAGGTGAGAGATGGGATGTGGCTGCTCCCCTCCCCTGGTGCTCACAAGCTAGTCTATGCCTGCAGTTCAACAGTCACAAAGGGACTGAATTAATCTCTTCTCTCTCGCTCGCTAGGTTGAGTTTCAAGCAATTGATAGCCTCTTCATGAACAGCTTCCCTATCATGGTCCATTTTTCAATTCGAAGTGCAGTAACAAATGCTCCTAGAGTTGCATGGAACACAGGTAAGGAAAATCTCCTTTAAGATTTTCTTCACAGATCTGGTTTTGCAGCGGATTCACCTTCCGTGTGCTGTGATAACGCAGACATAGGATGGTACAAATAAATTTGATTTCAAAGAGAAAAGCATTCTACAGTGGTAACTGGGCATATTTATCATCCATATGAAAGATGTGCTTTATATTTAGAGTATAGTGGCCGCATCTGAACTATACATCTGAACTATACCACAACTTTAGTTCATTCGGGTTGCTGAGAGTTGTTTGGCCGTCCCCTATCCCCTTCAAACAGCTACAGTTCTGACAGTGAACAATCAACTCCCCAACCCAGGAAACTCTGGGAATCTTAGCTCTCGGGAGGGGGAAAAATGTGAGTTCCCAGGAATATTTGGGTGAAGCCATGACTGTTTAAAATGGTATGATACTGCTTGAATTGTGATGGGGCCAGTGACAGGATTACAGTAACAACCCTATTATCCAAATATGACAAACCCATGTTACTATCAGTACTTCCAGATGGGTCTTTAGTGTGGAATTGGTGTTAATCATGCATGCAAGTTTTTCCAGTGTGCACACAAAATGTCAGTCCATATTTCCCTCCCAATTTTAGCTGGATTTACCTTTTCCAGGGAATATCTGACATGTAAAAAAAGAGAACCTACAAACCTATTGGCAGTGACCCATTTGCAATATCTCAATGACCTGCTTGCAAATTAAACATCCCTGAATAGAATCCTGCCTCTTGCTTTTGTCTCACCATGTTCTTTTAACTGTACTCCTAAGTATCAAACCAGTTAACTTTTCTGAATTTCCCCCACAACTGCATTACTTTTCCACCTAGTGCAATTGCTTACGCTGAAAGCAAAGCTCATGGTGCCTTTGATGCTGAATTGCTCTATGAGCTCATTCAGAGCCACATGACTTCATTGTGTTTGAAATACCTGCTTATATAGGGCTTGACTTGTTGGAAGGACAGTCTCGTCCAATTACCTGGGAGTCTCTTCAGATTGTAGATAATGATAACCTTGATGCTGTTCAGCTGCTTGTGGTGGAAGGCTTATATCATGGCTGGCTCACAATCAGAGGTATGTAGCTTCATGGTCTAAAATTTGTGGAATTTAAAATTGAAAGTTCCTATGTGTGTCTCCCTCCCCCTCAGTAATGAGAGTACAAAATAAAAATTAGAACTTTCCAACCAGACCTTTGCTTGAAGCAAAATAGACGGTTTCGTTGTGGTGGAAAGGGCATCCTTTTTTTTGGGATGTGGAGGAAAACATTATGAAGATACTGATAGAAACCGAGTTGAGCTTTAACTTGCCTAAGTGGAAAGACAGATGGCAATATTTTCATCTGTAATAATGTTCAGTTATTGATCTATTTCCTTCATTTGTAAAGGCACTCCACGGTGTCAGTATTTAGCAGAAGGCATTTAAGCACATACCGGGAAATTTAGGTTTGTGCAATTAAAGTGCTTTGTTATTCTAGCACAAAAAAACCCACTTTAAAAAAGGAACAGTCTTTTTGAGTTTAGGAAAGTGACAGGGAAATGCATTGAAAAGTGTGGAGTGAGTTAATGATTAATGCAAAGATGTATAGATATCCTGCAAACAAACCAGAACAAATGCTCAATAAAGACAAGATACAAACTAACCTTTTGGTAACCTTTGTGCAAGTAAGTCAGGATTCCTACGTGTAAGTAAATGTGACCTGGATTCAGTGGGTTGTCAAATCAAATTCTCCCACTACTTTTTCAACATGGGTTTTAATATTATGTCAGCTAATATATCCATGCTACAAGCATGCTATCCTCGGGTTACCAGATGTCCCCGGTTCCTGGGGACAGTCCCCGGATTTGCAAATCTGTTCCCAGACAAATTCCGTCCCTGGAATGTCCCCAGATTTGCAAATCTGTCCACAGGAAACATGGCAGCGGCAGCCTCAGCAGCCTGGAGCCAGCCTGGTAGCGCAGTTGGCTCTGGCTGGCTCCAGGAGCTGTTCGCTGCCTACTGCTGTGGCCCCCCTCCATTTTTTCTTGCTGGAACTTCCAGCGAGGAAAAATGGCGGGTGTCACGGCAGCGAGCAGCTCTTGAAGCCAGCCAGAGCCAACTGCGCTACCAGGTTGACTCTGGGCTGCTGACTGCCGCTGCTGCCGCCACTGCTGAAGGGGAACCGGGGACATCTGGCGGTACAGATATCCTGCCCCCTTCCCCCTTTGTTTTGACTGATCAGGGGAGGCTCGGGAGTTGCAGGTGGGTGGCTGTTGCCCAGTTTTTTAAAAACTCTGCGCATTTATGTTTCACAGGGTGCAAAAGAAGGGCTTTGTGTGGGTGACCTTGGGCTAGTCACACTTCTTTGAAGTCTCTCAGCCCCACTCACCTCACAGAGTGTTTGTTGTGGGGGAGGAAGGGAAAGGAGAATGTTAGCCGCTTTGAGACTCCTTAAAGGGAGTGAAAGGCGGGATATCAAATCCAAACTCTTCTTCTTCTTATACAACATGCATGTGTGCTTGGACCCAGGGTCTTTGACCTCACCATCCCCATTACAGACTCCCTGTTGCTACTCAGCTTAAAAAAAAAAGGTGTCCCCGGATTCATTGAAAAAAATCTGGTAACCATATGCTATCCAATCCATCCAATGTTGCTGCATAAAGACAGCATAGTACCAGGCTCCCATTCACTGGAGAATATGTGCATAGGCATCAAATTATATGTATCCAATCTATTAAATTGACTAGTCTGAAGGGAAAGAAACTATATCTAAACATAGGTAACTACAGCCAAGCTGCTCCACTGTATTAAATAGATGCATGTTAACCAGTAGCGAGAAGAACTACTGTTTTTCTTCTTTCGTCTTGTGTAGGTAACAAAGGCTTCAGGTTTTCAGTGAAAGATCTCAGGGATGGAGTTGTCCGTTACCATCATGATGACAGTGATACAACCAAGGATGACATAGTCTTCAGAATTTTTGATGAAAAGCACAGTGCTAGACACAGATTTCCTATTAACATTCTTCCAAAAGATGACACCCCACCATTCCTAGTGAACAATCTTGTATTTGAGTTGGAAGAAGGCATCACAGTTCTTATTGAAAACCATATGCTTATGGCTACTGATTTTGATTCAAGTGATGATTATATCCTCTACAAAATATCCAAGCCACCCAGTGCTGGAGAACTTATTAAGCAACACTTCCCAGATGGACCAGGTAATGCTGGGGTTGGGAACCTCAGACCTGGGATCAAATGTTTCTCTTTTCAGCCCTTGAGCCCCTGACCAGGCCATATCCTGGGGAGACACACCAGATGGGTGGGGTATAAATTATTATTATTATTATTATTATTATTATTATTATTATTATTATTATTATTTCCTCTCCCAAGACCACACCCCTCACTAGCCTTGCTCTGTGCTCTCCTTGATTGCTTTTGTCTGGCTGAATATGCACTTGGACTGTAATAAGACCTTTTGCTTATATGGATGGAGGATGAGAATATGTGGGTGGGAATCTGTAGAAATCTGTCTTTTGATTGGCTGGAATACACCCTAATATATATAGGTAAGAGTCTCATCCATTGCTCTGCCTTGAAAGTTGCTGGGAATGTGACCCTCATTCTGAAAAAAGGTAGAGTAACTATGTCTATTAAAATGAAGATGCCATTATTAATCAGAACAATAACTGTTAACATATTAAGCCAGATAGCTGGTTGTTGAACCAGTCGTGCAATATTTCTAGGGTGAGATTAGAAGGTATGGAAGGAGGAGACCCAGCTGAGGGCAAATCACATTGTTTATATTCAAAAGATGAGTTTAAAAGGACAGAACATGCTTCAAACATGGAAGAGCTACTGATAATCAGTGTAGATGGCATTAGGGATACAAGAGCCAATGGTCTGGTTCCAATATGATACCTTAATGCAAAGGAGAAAAATGAATTTTCTGAAATTGGTTTTTGTGCTTTGTTGGATTCTCAAGGTATTCCTGTGTTTAGCTTTTACCAAAGAGATCTCTTCCATGGGCTTATTTACTACCGTCATTTTGGAGGGGAAATTTTTCAAGACTCGTTTGAGTTTAACTTAGCTGACAGCCAGGAACCACCAAATCTCTCAGATCCTCAGGTAATTTGTTTTACAATTTCTCTTGAAAAACCAAGTTGCAGCAGAGGAGAATCCTAGAGGAAAGATCTAAATAACTTGATTTGAGCTCCATGGAAACATCTTGTTCCTTAACTTAGATGAGAAGTCAGCTCCCCACCCTGGGTCCAATTAAAAATATGGATGATCCTCTCATCTTATAGTGCATACATGACTATGCATAAAGTATCAATATGCATACTATTTATTTTATTTTTAAAAGAAATTTATATACTGTCCTTTGTCAAGCAAGATAATGTAAATACATATACAAAAATTAAGAAGCACCGCTGTATAAGGTCAGAGCCCCAAAAATCTCCATCCTTAGCATTGGACAAAAGTTTAGGGTTCTATGACAAATGTGTGCATCCTTTCATTACAAGAAGAGGTCCAGCCTGAAACATACATGAACTTGTGATCTTTACATCTGTAGCAGGAATAATGGGTGCCTACCTTTTTAGATATTTGACATTTCTTCCATTCAGCTATTTCCCTGCAGGAAAACAGAAGGAACTGTATCTTTCTCTCCTTGCCCTCTCCAAAAGCTCCAGAGCTCTGCAGGCAATGTGGCAACCTTTTCCAGCCGTGGGCGGCCAGACTATATTTGTGGGCGGCCAGACTATATTTTTTTTGGGGGGGGATTAATGAATTCCTATGCCCCACAAATAACCCAGAGATGCATTTTAAATAAAAGGACACATTCTACTCATCTAAAAACACGCTGATTCCCGGACCGTCCGCGGGCCGGATTGAGAAGGCGATTGGGCTGCATCTGGCCCCTGGGCCTTAGGTTGCCTATCCCTGATCTATGTCATGCACACTCTTCCTGGTACTCCTCAGCTTGTATTTCTGACACTACCTTGGAAGAAGGTTTGAACAAAGATGTAGCCTCTTTACAGGGCCTTATGTGTCTGTGTTAGGGTCCAAACACTGTGAAGCTTATGACACACAAAGTGAAGCTTGCAGAGAAGATGATTTCTATGAGAACCATCTTTGCTCAAAGAAGTGTTATAATTCATACCCTTTCCTCTCTTTTTATATTACTAACTGCAGTAGCACTGTTGGTTTCCTGAATTATTAATCAAAACAATTTGGAACTGACACTAAAGATTAAAGGTTATTTGGTTATTCTTCACGTTGGATAGACCACAAAAACAAACTATATGAGTACCTGATGTTACACTTAGGCAATCTTTGTGATTTATATGGTGGTGCAAGACGTTCTCAAGCAGTAAATGCTGTTTTTAAGGCATACATCCATGTTCTCCCAAGCCCTTTAATTACAATCTAAGAGCTTCAGGTCTTTGCACTAAACTCCCCTTGCTGGGTTTCATGCTGCTTTTGTTTTAATTATGTTTTGTGCTTTTTTTTCTAACTGAGCTTTCTGCTTTGAGACATTTGTTTGTTTTACGGGTTTTTACTGCAAATTATATTTTCCATTACATTGTCTACGCAAACATCCCAGAGAACTTTATTGAATGGGTGGTATACAAGCGAAACAGATCAATAAACAGGGTTTTGCGATTGTCTTATAGATTGTGATGATTCACATCATGCCAGTGAAAGACCATTTGCCAGAAGAAGTCCCTGGGACAACAAGGCACCTTGTGGTCAAAGAAACAGAGATAGTACATATCACAAAGGACCACCTCCATTTCACAGATGCCGAATCGCCAGACAGCCAACTTATGTATACAGTTACAAAGCCATGTTTCTCTCCCGCTTCCCCTGGGTATGTAAGTCTCTATGCATCAACGAAGGAATAAACTCTCAAAGGATGTATCTAAGCGAAAAGGCATTGCGTGTACATTAACACTATACAGGTGTTGCTATCCTCAGGTGAATGCTAATTGTAAAACAAGTAGTCTCAGTCTCCATCGGGACGGATACCTACGCTGGGTAAATTTCACCTCTCCTTTCGCTTAACTAACCCATTTTGTAGCAAAAGCTCACCCACTCCCAGGGAGTGGAAATAATTCTTCGGTGGAACTGCTCCTGCCTGCAGCCACTGTTGAGGGAACTCTTGAGTACTCTGCTCTGTAAAGGAAGAATGACAAATATAGTCAATTTCGCTTCCTTTCTTCTCTCCCCTGCCCTCCGCCCCCCGGGCCTCACCCCTAAATCATAGCAGAACTGATTTCAGAAGTGAATTGGGGGTGAGGGCAATATCAACTTTTCCCATCGAAAGCAGTGTCTCTCTGTGTGACATGGTGCATACTAAATGTTTTTTCTTTAGGAGAGATTTATGAACTTCCCACTTCTTAATCTCTGGAGGCTAGTTTAGGAGGAACAAAATTTGGATTCTGAGGAATAAATGGGTGTCATAGGGGTTCCCATACTAGAGAAAAAGTCTAGTGTGCAAATGTCCAAGAAGTCTTGCAACATGAACTTCCATGAGATGTGAAGCCCACTTTATTAGTTACATGGTAGAATTTTAACACTTTCTGGCCCATATATTATATCTCTAGCAATTCATTTCAAGTTGCTCTGAAAAACTGCTTTTCCTCTATTGTATTTAATATACTCGCCCCAACTGTTGAGACCAATTCATACAGATGCGTCAATTGTCTTAGCCCAAAAGCTCATGTACCAATAAGAGTGTTTTAAGATGCTGTTACAGTCCGTGTCAATTTTAGACATGTCTACTCTTTTAAATATATATTAAAAATTGTAATTTTCCCCCCTTCCCTCCTGTTCTATAGGGTGTATGATGCAGGAAAGCTTATTTTCACAGACAGCATGAAAAATTTTGTGAAAAATTCTTCTATTCCTTTCCTGTCATCTTTCACACAGGTAAGTGGACCTAACAATAACTGTTGTCTTGCAACAACAGAAAGATTGCTTCAAGTCCCTTGCGATCTGTAATTCTCAGAGACCCCAATGGCCACAGTTATACAGAGCATGCTTGGCGAAGTGTCCTGGGTACAATGATTCTTCAGAATTGTAATGAGGATGCAGACCTTCTTGGGAACTACGATGCAGCTGTAGGTTACAGCAGCCCCCCCCTTTAGGAAGCAGGACAGGATAGCTATGAAAGGGCTGGGCCCAAGGCCAAACCAATGAGCTAAGTCCAAACTTCAGAGAGGTTTAGCCTAGAAGTTTCAGGTTGGACTCTGAACTCATCATGTCCCAACTTTGCTTAGATCATTGATCATCACCACTACAGGGAAACTTAAAGAATTCTACTTCCCAAACCTAGACCATGATAAGACTACTCACCTCACAGTGGGTCTGTGTAACTAAAGTAGAAGGGGAGTATCTGGAGGTGTTGCTGGACTCCAAGTCCTATCAGCCCCAGAAAACAACTGAAAATCACCAGAGCAATCCGGTTTTGATATGCTATGGAACCTAATTTACTGCTGCATTGTTTAACATGCTGTTGATGACACCTCTCAGCATATGCACTAAGGGAGTGATATATGATTAAAAGACAAAATGAACTGGGTGGTTGCAGTAGCTGCAAAGTGGAGAATTAAATTTATGAGACTCACGCAATGCAATCACTTCCATTTCCTACAACCAGCATGCCATAACGCATATGAAAGTGGCGTACATGCCCCCATTGATGGAGATGGGCCCTGACCCATTGTTTGTACAGTTTGAATTCTCTGTCAGTGACCAGCAGGAAGGAGTGATGACTGGTCTCCTCTTTAACATCACAGTGATGCCTGTGGATGATGAAGCACCTGAGGTATTTATCAAGTATCTTAATTAACTGCTTGCCTGTGATGCCGTCTTAATGATCGTTAAGCTTGTAAAGCAGAGGTGGGAAACCTACGACTCTCCTGAGTTTGTTATACTCCAACTGCCATCAGCATCAGCCAGCAGGACTGATGGTCGGGGATAATGGGAGTTGTAGTCCTGGAATATCTTGAGGAACACAAATTCCCCATCCATGCTGTAGAGCAGGGATGTCCAACAGGTCGATCATGATCTACTGGTCGATCCCTGCAAGGTTTTGGTCAATTGCGGTTGATCGCTGCCCCCCTTGCAGCCCCGACCCCTTGCCCTGCCCTCCATTGTTGGAGAATGGAAGACAGAGTTTACAAACCGAGGCTGTTCCCCCCCCCTCCAGCAATCCTTCGGTGAGTTGCTGTTTCTCTTTGACCCCAAAATAATGCAAAAATGGGGTTTTCCCCCTCCCTAAAAAAAGCTGAACTACTTTGACCTGAACCCTAATAAAACAGGGCCTTTCCCCTCCCTTTAAAAACTCCTTTCATAGAACTACTAAAATGGTGTTAAAAGAATAAACACTTGATGATAAACAAGAGGCTTCTCTGTTCTTGATACTTCAGATTATTTTTGTTTGGATGGCAGATTTCAAATTTCCTAATGGTCGTGGTGTTAGAAACTTCGCAGATCTGCTACAGGGGTACACTTAAACTATTTAAAAAACAACAACAATCTATTATTTCTGATAACTGTGAGACCAAAGATTGCCACCCATGCAGAAGCCAATGTAATTCCAAATTCAAATTGTTAAAAACAACAAGAACTAACAATCATGCACAGATTGTGCAGAGTACTTGCCCCACGCTCATTCTTTGGTCACCCTGCTCTCCTGGTACTATCACTGCATTATTTGCTTTCCCTATTCACAAATATTTCATTTGGAAATACATAAACAGTGCAAGAGGCAGAGTTCATTGGGTTATGTGTTGTGATTTCTTCAGGCAGCTGTAGGAAGTGGAAAGATTTATAGTGTTAAATTATTTACTCTGTTCCCCGAATAATACTTAAGGGTTCGTTCAAATGGAAAACGGTGTGTTCAACTTTCCTCCTTTTTTCCTCCCCCCTCCCCCTGCTCCTTTATATATATATATATAAACCCCACCACCACAACAAACCCTATAAAATGCTTTAAGTACCTCTGGAGCCATTCTGTGAGCTGGTTTTCTCAAAGTCATCCTTCTAACTGTGCCCTTTTCGGCTTCAGTCACAATAATTGCTCGTTATGTAGGTTAGCTTATTTCCACAAATCCATAAGCTTCTAGACTTTAAAAACCACCACACGGGAAGAGAGCATTTCATATGAAATAGAAAAGCTTCTTTGCTGGAGTTTTAGGACAGAACTTAAAGCAGCTTCAGTTCTGAATTCAAGATAACTGGACCTACGTATCTAGTGTCTCTGCTTATTTTCTTTTTTTTCTTAATTCCTGGGAGGTAGCAACCTTTCCCTTTTTTAAAGAGAAAGCACCTTTCCACACAGTCTCCCTTGAGCATCACTGGGTAGCCCATGGCTTTCTTTTGCCTTCTAGTTGCCTCGGTACCTGCTAGGAGACAATAATATAAGGACTGAAAGATACCAAATCTTCTGTAACGAGTAAAACAAACTAGGAAAGTGTTCTATCCTTCTGAGTTGGAGGCCAAGAGGAAGATGGGCAGCTCTGTATTTTAAATTATCAGTATATGAGATTGCTCTGTAAGAACAGCATTCCATGAGCAGCACGACGAAAACAAGTGCATCTTAAATGGTTTTCTCCTACCTGCTGTTTGATTAATGACTCAAGGTCAGACATATTATGGCTCACCTGCCAGTGTTAAATGCCTTTCCTAAAAGAATTGTCCTCCTGAGAGAGCTAGCATCCTTTTTAGCACAGGTTTTCCAGCTACATGCTGAAGGTAATGGTTAGGCTTGCCAGCTGGCTTTTGGGAAATGCTGTAAAGTTCCAAGAAATGGACTCATAGCTTTTTGGACACAAACTATAAGCCAGCTCGAAGAATACCCCAGTTACTCAATCCTTCCTAAAGTTTTCTAGAAGCCTGAGAAGTGGGTTTGGCGTAAGGTAAGGATTATGGAGGGGAGAGAAATTCACGTTGGTTCACATTTTAATGTCAACCTAGCTAATTTCCACTTCCTAAGGCAATACATGAACCCAAACACAGCTATCTTTTGAAATGTACACATTTCTGAATTTTGCATTCCAGTTCTTCAACTGAAAAATGTGTAGAAAACGTGTAGAAAATGCCCTTAAAAATACATATCAGTTGATATAACATGCAAAAATGTAGTATATTAGGAAGATTGCCTGCAATGTGTATATTAGGCAAAAGAGCATACAAGGCTTGCTATTTACTCACAATGTGTTCTTAAGAAATCATCTGTCAGGCAAGTGTTCACATAACGAATCAACACTTTCTATTGATTCCTATGGGAGAATTTATAATGCATTCCCAAACATGGAATTTTGACCCCAAACGATGATAAAACAAGGGGAAACACAGTAAAACTCTCTGAAACCTCGCAAAAGGCAAACAAAGGAGGAGATAATGCTATATTTGTCCAATCTTTGTGCCTCCCTCCATGGTTTCTGGCAAAATGGCTGCTATGGACCAGTAACACTGAAACAAGTAAGGCTTGTTTAAGACTGCTTATTTACAGTACTACATGCAGGTCTAGCTGAATCTGAATCTGTGGTGTATATAGCAAGGTTTGGGTACTACTTCCTCTTGTTTGGATAAAAGGATTTATAATATAACGGCTAGAAATAACTCAGAAGTCCTTGCAGTCTCTGGAGAGACTGCCAGCTGTAGTAGGCTGTAGCAGCACCAGGTTAGATGGTCCAATAGTCTGACTTAATATTACAACTCCAGATTCTCATTGTTCTATAGTTGTATTGTGGTTTTATCCCATGTATATTGGCATGCTGTGTCTTGAAGTACTTGAGTGCATTTTGTGAGCTTATGACTGTTTTAGATTTTCACCAATCATCTGAAAATAGAGGAAGGTACCAGCACATTCATCACTGAAGAACATCTAATGGTAACGGATGTGGACACTAAGAACAGTGATATCCAAATTGAATTGAAGAAATTGCCTTTACATGGACACATTGAACTACATGGACTTGTTATGTCAGAAGGGGATAAATTTACCCTTTGGGATTTACACTCTTCCAAAGTTCGGTAATTTTAATCTTTTTATGTATTGTATATAATGGCTCGAGCCAGTAACATGATCCACTCTTCTTTTAGCTGTTGTTTTTTTAAGGATTACAACAAAGATGGGGAAATTATGGTCCATGGGCCAAATTAGGCCCACCAGGCCTCCCCATTTGATCTACAAGGCCATTTGGGGCAAGCCACACACACCAACCTACACGTGATGTCATACATGATGTCATCTGTGAGGCAGGTAAGGGTATAGCTTCAGAGGAACAATTGGGAGATTAAAGTGAGCTCACGATGGCTCCTTTGCTCCTGGAGGGAAGAGTATTTTCAATAGAAATCTTTTTTAAATGAAGGAAAATCTCCATTTTTGCAGCAATTTCAATGGAAACCCCTCCTCCCTCCCAATGCTGCTCCTTGAAGCTCTGAAGTTTATAGTGCAGGGGAGCTTTCAAACTGCCCCACATTGCTTACAAAAAAGGCTTTCGAACAGTGCAATGCTGCTCTTTGACGTTCTATCAGTCGGGGCTTCAAAGCACAGCATCACCTAGCATTGTGGTGATGTCAGGTGATTGGCAGGTGGGCGGTGCTGCTCACCTGTGAAATTTGCCCCAGCATGGGTGAAGAGATAAGGATCTAGCCCAGAGCTGGCCCACCAATGTGGCGGGGTGAAGCAGCTGCCTTGGGTGGCGGAAGCCCATGAGTCTGCATCTCCTTGGGCACCCCACCCACCACATCACCGGCAGCATTGGTACCAATTTCCAGTGAGATCTCAATGGAATCTGCTGCTGTCCTTGCCACGTCATGCCACCACAGTGCAAACTAGGTAAGGGATGCTTCAGCAGGGGCAGGGCAGGGTGGCATTTCCTGTTTTGCCTCAAGCGACAAAATGGGACGTTCCGCCACGATCTAACACATTGGTCAGAAAAGGAATGCAGCATTTTGGTTTTAGAACTAAGCTTAAATGTAGAGGGTTTTTAAAGGGAAGCTTACCTGCCACGACTGATCTTCCCACTGAGGAATAATCTCAGGGCTGCCCAGAATATAGTTTGAACGCTGCCACTCTGGTCCTCAGTAATCAAATCAAAGGAGGAAAGGTCCTGTAACTCGGTGGCAGAACATCTGCTTGGCATGCCGGAAGTCCAAAATTCAATCCCCAGAATCTCCTGGTAAGGCTAGAAATTTCTGAAATCCTGGAAAGCCCATGTCAGCCAGAGCATACCAGGCATAAGAAACCTTTTCAAGAAAAGCTTTCCTTTTCTAGCCCCATTCCCTTCTGGGCAACCTCTGGGGTGGTGTGGTGATGGTCACATGCTGGGGGGGGGGCAGATGCAAAACTTAATAGAGTAATGCATGTCAGCTCTGTGCAGTAGGTTGGCTTCTGCACACTCTTGTGATCTGAGTTGAAGGGCAAATGCCAGCCAGGTAAAAACATTGAAGGTGGGTGCAAAACCAGAGCTGGTGTGGGATGTGGCCTGGGGGTGGGGTGGGATATCTGTGGGGGGTGGTCTGGGGAGAAATTCACACCCCTGTTGTAGACAATGGACCAATGGTCTGGCTCAGCATAGAGCAGATTCCTATGTCCCAAATCTTTCCTGTTACCTGGGTTTGTTTATATAGCTCCCATGTAGATGCATGTCAGAGTAAGCCAACAGCTGTTCCTTATCTCTGACTTCTCTCCAAGAAAGAAAAAAATGCATCGTGGTCATTGCCATATTCCCATATCACCAGCTGATGTAACTCATTTAGCATCACTGAATCCTGCTAGAGCCGAGCAGATTCTCTCAAGTGGAGATGTGGCCAAGACCCAAGTGTGTCAAGGCTATGAGCTGTAAATATGGAAGTTGATGGCCCTTGTTCTTTCCCAGCTTGCTTGTTCCAGCCTCTAATGAATGAATGCCCAACTCCTCTGTAATTGTGTTTAAAAGGTATCAGCATGACAGTTCAGAAACCCTTGAAGACAGAATAATATTTTCAGCAACAGATGGATTTAACACTGCAGATGGAACACTGAGAGTACAGGTAATAACCAACTCAGCAATGAACTTTACCAGCGTATAATTGAAAGGTATTTATCACGTACTGGCTTATCCAGCTTCACCAAGTAGGTTTTTAACTTTCATTAATCTTCCCTTTAGATTCGCACCAGGTTCTCTATTTAGACTAGGTTTTATGCCTGGATCAAATAGGTTCATGATGCCTCCAGATTACCAAGTCAAGGCCAATTTAGTTGTGGTTGCAGTAGACCTACATATTTAAAACCAGGACTGTTGCCAGATATATAAAGGGGGGAGAAAGGAGAGGACAGGGAATGACTGAAGTTGCATTGCAATGGGGAGTCATGAACTGAACGCTTCTCTAATGCATGCTACCCCACCCTATGCTGAATCCCAGATGTTTGGGGTTTTTTGTCTCAGTGGGGCTCCATATCGTGCACAATGCAGATGCATTTTCTTGAAATTGGCATCCATACTTTCAGACATGAGTACACTTATGTGCATAGGGAGGCAATTTCAATATAATCTGGGTCAATTATTTGTGGATTTCTGGTCCCTAAAAATCACACACATGTTTACATGGTAGATAGAGACAGTTCCAGGGCCAGCATGAGCTATGCTATGCGTTAACCATGTGGATTTATTTATTTAACAAATTTGTATACTGTTCGATTGTCAAGAAGAAGAAGAAGAAGAAGAACCGCCTGTAAGCAGTTTACATCCATATAAATAAAACATGTTGTCAGGGACTGGACCGAACAGGAGGAATGGGAAATGTGCCCTCAGTCTGATCAGCTCCTCTCAGAAGAGGAGGGGGGTGGGAAGTTTCTCCCTGCTTGTTTCCAGTAGTTTCAGGAGGAGAGGGAGACAAGGATGATGTACAGCTGAATAAGGAAATGCCTAGTTACGAGATAGTTGAGGAAGAGAGAGAAGGGAGAGAACAACCAGTAGAGACCTCCCTGGAGAGTATGGGAGACCCTCCTAGTCCAAGGGCTTGCGGGTCCCTCCGCATTCATGAACAGAATGCGGGGGGATGTGCCTTCTGTCACTTTCCATAGGGTTTCAGGATGTTGTTGGGGATGGAAGAAGAGGGACTCAGAGTAGCCAACCTCTCCTATGCGTGGAGACATGGATCTTTTGTCTTGCAACCAGATGACTGAATAAAAAAACCATGAAATACAAACTGTTTGTTCTTCTTGCCTCTGAGGCTACTGGGGGAGGAGAGGATACTCAACGCCTGACACATGTACACTGACAGTTGAAAACGGTTAAAAAGATGGTTAAACAGTAGCATGAAGCGTACGCTGAAGGTGTCAGTAGGCAGGGAGTTCCAAAGTGTAGGTGCTGCCACAGTAAAATATGGATTTCTTAAATGTGTGGAATGAGTATTAGGTGGCACCTGTAGCAGTGCCGGTTCCGCAGATCAAAGAGCAAATAGGCAACCAGTCCAGGGCTCTGAGGAGGGTTGTTATAGGTGACAGGGTCTAACTCCTGTCAGTGGCCATGCTGCAGCATTTTGCACCAATTCCATCTTCTGGATCAAGTGCAAGGGAAGCCCTGTATCGAGTGCATTGCAGTAATCCCTCCTTGAAGTCAACCATGCCTGAACTATGATGGTCAAACTCTCCTGATTGCAGCTGGTCAAAGGTGCTTCTAGCCATTGAGGTGACCTGGACCTCCAGTGACAGGGCTGGATCCAGAAGCACCGTACCTGCAACCTCATCCAGCCAACAAGAGGCCAGTTTCTTAGGCACGAGAACCACTTGCCCAGAGTGCCTACATCTTGTCAGGATTCAAGCTCAGTTTATTTTCCTTCTTCCTCAACTTTTGGTTTAAGACAAACTTCAGTTCCCTGCTAGGTACAAATATGGGGAATTGTGCCTGTGACTACTGTGACAAACAGTGGCCAATAAAAGGCTTGTTGGGGATCCATGCTACCACTGGCCTGGAAGAGACTTGACTCTTCAGAATAAAATATTGATGTTGATCAAAGAACTAGCGCAGTTGTAGATCAGCTGGCCAACATGAATGATGTACCAATCTAGCAAAAGCAAGCACCTGACAGATTGCAGTTTTTGCAAGACACAACTATGGAATTTTTGGATATGCCATCCTAATTGAGGGCACTGGTTTAAGACATTCAGGCAGTCTCTTGGCCTTCCTTCCAGCCATGTGTTATGTCTCCTCTTTCTCCCTCATTCAAGATCATACCAGTAAATGATGAGCCACCAGAGCTGCAACCTGGTTTAAGATCAAGTCTGGAGTGCCTGGAAGGAGAGCGAGTCTTCATCACGGCTGAATACCTCTATGCAACAGATGCTGACAGCGAAGACTCCAGACTCATCTATATGATTGCCAGGGCTCCAAAGCATGGGGTTATTCAAAAGGATGGCTTTGTGGTGGAGAAGTTCTCTCAACATGACATTACTCAAGGATCCATCTCCTATGTGCACACAGGTAATTAGCAGCAGCAGCAGCAGCAGCAGCAGCAGCAGCAGCAGCTGTGTTTACTTTCAACAGTCTCTTCCAGGTGTCCATGCACTTTACTATGTATAAAGACAACTTATATTCCTTAATGAGTGCTTTTTGCAGACTAATCTTTGCTTTAAGCTTTATTATTTTGTTCATTATTTTGTACATAATTTTGTGTGTTTTCATTCATGATCAATAATTTTGTTTCCCACGAGAACCTGCCATACTAGAAAACTCGGGCTGCTGCTTCTGCTCCCAAGTCTCTCATGCGGCTCAGCCTTCCACTTAATCACAGTGGTATACAGAAGACAAAGACTAGAAATGAGCTAAAACTATAAAATCAGAATTCATTGAGAAAGTCTGCTGGAATTAAAAAAAATGTATTCAGTAGGCTCTGGAAGTTCGACAGGGTGGAGGCTTGTCTGACTTCAACTCGAAGGCAGTTTCATAAAATTGGGCCCACAATACTGAATGGATAGAAGCTGGGCATCTGAGTCACTAACAGTTATTCCCCTGAAGATATCAGTGTTTGTGCAGGAATATAAAGGATCCCTGAGGTATCCTTGACCCAAGCTGTTAAGTGACCTGCAAATTAATGCCAGAATCTTGAACCTGGCCTACTACGCAACTTCCCAAACACTAGCCTCATGTTTAGTGTGATGAATTTACTTATCTCTCTACTGTCTTTTATTCACTCTTCTGTTTTCAGATTTTACATATTTGAGCATTTCCCCCCTAGTGGCGACAAGGTCTATTACAGTGGTGCCCCGCAAGACGAATGCCTCGCAAGACGAAAAACTCGCTAGACGAAAGTGTTTTCCGTTTTTTGAGTCGTTCCGCAAGACGAATTTCCCTATGGGCTTGCTTCGCAAGACAAAATGTCTTGCGAGTTTGTTTCCTTTTTCTTAAAGCCGCTAAGCCGTTAATAGCCGCTAAGCCGCTAAGCCGCTAATAGCCGCTAAGCCACTAATAGCCGTGCTTCGCAAGATGAAAAAACCGCAAGCCGAAGGGACTCGCAGAATGGATTAATTTTGTCTTGCGAGGCACCACTGTATTTTTTAATAGGTGCAAACCGCAAGCAACTTTAAAGGAACCTGCCTATGAAAATGCCACCTTGGTTTTTTTAAATATCTTTTTCTTGAAAATCATCTGGTCAGCATATTTAGTTACTGATTAACTTTTTATTAAAATATTATGTGTGCAATTTAGCCAGAGGTAAGCATTTTAAATCTCATTAATTTTAGTTTCAAGAATTAAGTATGCCTTTAAATCTTTCTCAGGAAAATTAGTGGGCCATTGGAGCTCCTTCAGAATGGATGGAATTCCTTCTTAAGTCTGCCAGCACTCCATAATGTATGGAGTGTATTGTGACCATAAAGATGGGTTGTAGCTGAGTGGCTCAGTTTCCTTTCTTTGTTGTCTTTACCCCACCTTTCTGTCTCCTCCTCTCTTGATCTCCTTCCCCTCTTCTGCCTAGTCCTGTTGAATTTGTAGCTTGTCCCTCTGGCAAGTAGCAAGATATCGCCACATGGTGGTTTCATATATGGAAATGCAGGCTTGAGGTGGGATATCTATGCATAATGAGCACAATTTGTTTTTGTTTTTCGTTTGTCTCTCTGCAGTCGGCACAGACGTTGTGTGTGTGCTTCCCCAAGTCTTGCACTACCATGCATTTCTATTTACAGATGCTGCATTTGTATATCATGCTGAGCCAGACCACGGCTTACAGTTGCCACACAAATGTGCTGACTCCCAGGGTGGAGCTTTCACCTTCTTAGCTCCTCCCTGATCCTCGTAGCTCAGTGTGGTGCAGGTATTGCTAAATCAGGTATTGACTTAACCAAGATCCCAGGTTCAGCTGATTTGCTGATTTCTGCCCTCCTCAACCATGACCTGTAGCCAAGGTTTGCTCTTGGATACAGAATGCGCTTAAAGGAGGAGACTGCTTAACCCTAGCTATGGCTTAGCTGCCATGCTGTGCTGAGCTAAAAGGCCCAGGGAAGAGGAATGTGAGTGCAAGCTCCTCTCTAGAAGCCAGTATGTTTGTGCAGTCATGGTAAGCCATAGTTTGGCTTAATGTGATGTGCAAAGCAGGTCAGAGAATAGTTGTGCTGAAAACACATGGATTTGTCCCTCTCCCCTCAAGCCGTAATAGCCAGCAGGACTGAGATTTCTCTGCCCCTTTGCTTACTCAACTATACTTTTGATTTTTACATAAATAACTTTTGATTTTTACATAAATATTCAGCCTGGTGATTTCTTTCTTTTCTTTTCAAGCTTTTGTAAAATAGCATATGTCTATCCTGAAAGCCACAGCCTACTGCTACAGACGACTACAAGGTCCTTAGTCTGCTCTTGCTCTTGTGCATTCTGAAACTGTACTGTACAAGATGCCTAGTGGTGGTGTCATTTCCTAGACTTGTTTTGTTTTTCTTAAGCAGAAACCTGTGTGAGGAGGTGGGGCATGTCTGACCACTGGTGTTTTTTGTGTGTATTTTTTTAAAGAAACGAGAGAAAAAAGAAAACTCCTTAAATTATAAAATCTAGCACTCTGTGGAACATAATTTATAGTGAATTCGATTTTGGTTTTCTGCTTGTATTGTAATGTATGCGCTATGCATGTTAATGAAAGTGATAATTCTCATTGTTCATCTCCTGATGCGCTGTCTGCCATAAATATGATTTATTTAAAATTGTACATTACAAGAGATACAAGAGAGAGCTTGCTAAGTGCAACTAGGCTTTATTTACTTTGTGCTGTGTGCTGTGCAGACTCTGCACCTATTACTATAGGGTAACCTTCTGACAAGATGGGCATCTGTGTGATGTTAACCAGCGGCTGTTTTAACATAAATGGTGGCAACAAATTTTATTACATATGTGAACCACTAGTTGAGGCTGCTTAAAACAATGATTCCATTTCCTGTGTGCAAATCTCTTAAACCTAAACCCATCCCCTTACTGCTCTCTTACTGTCCGCCATGGGGTGGGGTGGGGGAAAGTTACTACCTCATGCTTATTTTAAAGCCTGGTAGCTTATTTAAAGCACCTTAATTTGTGTGTATGTGTTTTCCAGGAGGAGAAATAGGTCATAGTTATCTCACGGACAGCGTAACTTTGATAATCTCAGATGGAGAAGCTGGAACAGTGGATGGTTGTTGTGCTGACGCAAATTCCCCACCACCTGTACCACTTCATCCCAGTTTACCAGTGTATGATCTAAACATCTCTGTGGTGCCCATTAACAACCAGAGGCCAACCATTCAAACTGGTATGTATTTACTAAACCGCTTCTTCTCTTCAAAGCACTGAGGTTAAAATCTTGACTTTATCCTTTAGGGGTTCAGATTGCACACTTTGCTCTTCACTGAGTAATCTAGAGCTGTTGAAATCAGCGGGAAGGTTGCTTTATGAGTTCTGTGGAATGTGGATTGCAAGCTGAGCCTGTCCTGTGCACAGCTGCATAAGTTAAACAGAACTAGTAGCTATCTGCTATGTGTGACCTGAACCTAGGTTCAAGCATGAGATTTTACAAACCTCCTCAACTTGTAGAATCAGTTTCCAATTGGTTTATTTTTTGATAGAAAAGCACACACAGAGACAGACAGAAATGTTAGGTATTGCTTGCCATCACCTCAAACAGAGCCTGAAGAGAACAGCATTCCTTCATTCCATGCCCCTAAAATCTGGTATTTAGGGAGACACTGGCTCCAAGCAGTGGTTCCTTATTCTATCATCGTTATGGCTAGTGACAGATTAATCTTTGGATCTGACTTAATCTTATGGCATTAAATTGAATAAACTAATTCTAATGTCCATGTGTTGCTCACTCATGTAAGGTGTTAATCTGGTGGTGCAGTTATAGCCCCTATGTATGAGTAGGAGCTCGTGTGTTGGACTTCTACTACAGACAAATGCAGAGATGCATGGTTCTTTGAGGAAGTAGATGTGGCATTGAGGATGGAGCTAAGGGCATCCATCCATACACAATATTCCAACTTCATCTTCATCACAGATGAATGTCATTCCTGCTGCACACTAAGCCAGTGATTTCAGCTTGCTGGTCCTAGATTTCTTTCCTGAGTAGTTTCAATAAATTCTGAGTCATTTTAAGTATTTACAAAGTTAGAGTTTTTGCCTTACTTTGCATTTAGCACTTGATCTGATTTGCTTCTTTTTATTCTCTCTCTGCTCACTCACCCAATTTGCAGTTTGTTTATTTGTTTTAGATATTTCTAGGCTGCCTTTCAAGTCGATGGCCTTCCCAATGCGGCTTACATTAATAACAAATATACAGTTCCAATAAAAACAGACAGTAAAACATGCAATTTAATTTGCAATAAAACAGTCAGTTAATAAAATTAAAGGCCCACAGAAACCTCACAGCAGTTTACACAATCAAACCTTTCAATTAAAAGCCAAGGAAAACAGTTTGAGGTGTGTGTGTAACTCACTCTCAAAACCTAAACTGAAGAAATCAGCTGTACCTCTCTTAAAGGTAAATGTATAGGGAAGAAGCCACTGGGGATGCTGTTGGGAGTTTAACCAGCCAAAAGAAAGATCACAAAAGAGGTCTTGGGCACACCTATCTAAAAGTAAAATCAAAATCAAAACCCTTCAGGATTTCCCACCCACTCATGGTGATGTGGACCAATCAATAATGTACAAGAGCAAGAGGCAGGTCTTGTGTAAAAGCCAGTCAGGAAGTATAAGAGGTTCCATTCCTCATGCTATGCTAATGAAGGGTTATTGGTTTCTACGTAGTAATAAACTTTTAAGCAGCCCCCACAACTTTCCCCATGAAGGGGCTGGGCACCCACAACTTTTGCGCTGGGGCCATGCATACCCCCGCAGGGGCATGTTTGACTGATGTCAGCACGCCCTCCAGCACGCATGGCCCTGGGCACCCACAGTCCCAGGACCAAGCTGACGGGCCTAATGAGCGCTTTCCAAAACAATACGCAAACTGAAACTCAAAATTCAGGCTTCTCCAAATTTTGCAATGCAGCTCTGCAGTCAAGTAATGTGTACAAATATACATTTATTGGACAAAATGCATATATTGATGAAAATAACATACAAAAATACATATATATATATTTGCAAAAATTGTATATGGAGCAAAACCGCATACAAAATTGCATATTGGGAGAAATTCACTATACAATGCTGGTGAATTTCCTGGATGACATCTTTTCCCCCAATGCAAATGGATATGGAATTGTGGATAATTGAAGATTAGGAAAAAGGGAGATTAAGAGTAACTGAAAATGACAGATTTACCTATCTCTGTTCCCTGGTGTGTAGAACACATCCTTGGGGACTTCTGTCTGGGTGGCAATGGAATCCACAAAACTCTTGGGACTGGATGCAATGCTGCCTGCCAAAGTGGGGTTTTGCCACATTGGCTAAACCTTAGAAAATCAGGGTAAATGCAGCCCAAGATCATCATAGTGAGAATGACTCTGAGATGGTCTTAATGCAGTCTGAATATAATACTAAGTGAAATTAATTTTCACAATTAATTTATGCCCCGTGTAATATGAATGCACATTCCCCCCCCCAGTGCAGGCTGGTGTGGGATTTTTGTACTTTGAATCCTAATCCATAACTAGATCTCCATCTGGATCCATTGCTAAACACAGATGTACACAAACAAATGTTTGGCATGGGGTTTGTCTCTGAAAATCCAAGTACAAAATATTAGGGTCAGCATTTTACTGCCAAAGATGGATTTGGAGCACCCAAGTCTCTTTTGGACTACCAAAATGAAGTGTCACTGAAATTTCAGTATTTTAACCATCCATTTGAAGCTTCAGAAATCGAAACATAAAGCTGGCTAATAAATTAGCAGAAAAAGATTCTTGTTTGCAGACAGTGCTGTTTTGCTGTGACTACATTAGTTGCTCAACATCTTGGATGGTTTAGTTCCTAGTATTTGAAAACAGACAGCATCTAAACCAAGTTTTCCCAGTTAGTAGTGGATGTATTATTCACAGATAAAAAACAATATTTCATTCAACTAAGTATTTTGGCTTGCATTAAATTTAGCTTGATGTCTAGAATATTTAAGTTCTTTGGGGTTGGGGAGGGAAGGAAGGAGCAGTCTATTTCTGCTCCATTTCCCTTCTACATTCTCCCATCACATTTTTGCATTATTCTGTGAATTTTTAGAAATCTGGAAAAATGCAGTTAAATGCATTTAGCTGTGCTATGATTGTGGCAGGTCTCTGGTGAGGGTGATTCTGAGAAAAGTCAGTGACTTCAGCTCTGAACTAACTCATGATTTTATGTTGCTTTGCCCACCTATGTCAAATGGACAATGATCATTAGCACAGTATCCTGGAAAAGGGGTCTCAAACTCAGCTCACAAGAATCTTGGTCAGAAGCTTTCCCACCTGAGATCTCTAGCTAGATCAAGCTAGGGTCTTGCATGTTTGTACACTCGTACCTACACAGTATGATATCTAGGGGTAAAAAGAAGAAGAAGAAGAGGCATTTCTAGGTTACGATATAGCAATGTTGTTTTTTCCCTGAGCTTCACACTGGAAAGGCACAATACAACTGAGATTGGAAATTCCATAGTTCCAATAGAAGGCTAGAACTTGGAAAAATTCAACTGGTGCGGAAGAGTGAGCAAGGTCACTGGTGACACAGCTCCATTCCATCTGTGCAGGCTCCCTCTTAGCAGAAGGAATTCAGCAACATGATATTTGTAGCTTTATTCATTGACTCATTGCTTCCCAATTTTGTAGTTCTGGGTTGTTACTATCACTATTTTAAAAAGCAGGTTATTTACACTTGCTTAGCAATGAAATAAAGCTGTTCTTTCTTAACTAATTAAGTGCAACAGTCATTTAATAAAGAAATTAAATGCGATCCTGCTTCTATGACAGCAAGGCACATAGCTATCATGCTTGTCTCCAGGGCAAGGCATTGTTTCTTGTCTGTAGCAGAAGCTACTAGTGCTTGGCATGTGTCAAAAAATTAGGTATCCCAATAGTGGGCATGCAACTATAACTATATATTTATTTATTGGTAAATGAGCAAACTGAGGTGAGGTTGGTGTTAGTTGACAGCACTGAGGTCACATTGGTTCATTGAATGAAATCTAGAAATGAAACCTTGCTACAATATATATAGGCAAATCTGGAGTTATGGTGTATATGGTTCACTGTGTGTATGTTGGTGCCAGGGCAGGAGTCTGGTGCAGATCATCAATAACTCAAAAGGCATCAATGAACTTAACTCCTTATTCAAAGGAATAAAAGCAGATTATGCCCAATAAGCACAGCAGCTCTGTTTCCAGAAGGTCTTGCCCCAATGAGGAAGTTGCAACAACTGAAGGTTCTTGCCTTCCCACAGTTCCCAAAGTCTCCTCCTCTCCCGGGTCCTTCCCAAGCAACCTGAGGCTTCTTTGCATGGTCTGTCTTTGCTCTATCCTCTTCATACCTCTGCAAGTTCTGGGAGACCAGAGAGGAGGAGAGCTGGTCATAGCAGGAGGGGGAGACTCCCTGGCTTCTTCAGCAGTGTGCCTCATCTCTGCCTCTTGGCCCCACTCCTCTCCAGCCTCTGCTTCTGCCTCTGCCACAGCCTCTTCCTGCTCACTAAACCATGTTATCTCTTCAGCTTCTCACACCTCTTCCTCCCAGTCTGCTCCCTCTTCTCTCTGACCATGCATCATCATTCCACCACCAATCCCCTGGATTTGAGCCTTCTTCCCCTGGGGGTTCCCTTGCTTTCCACAAGCAACTAACTTGCCTCTGGACAGTGTTGGACTCGGAGAATTTGGTTCAGTTACTAGTCCTAGAATGTACATACAAGTTGCCGTCTTTAAAGGTCAGTTCAATGTCTGTTAAATACGTTTGATGCTTCCCTTTCTGACAGGGTGGTTGAGAGGGTGAATGATCTAAGAAAGTGTTATTCATCCCGAGTCTATCAGGGACTGGACAGAGGAGGAATGGTGGAGGTCGCCTCCCCAGCCTGACCCTTCCAGAGAAGAGGAAGACAGTATAGATTTACAACAGTGCTTTGTGGGAGGTCACAGTTCAGAGGCAGAAGAGGGGAAAAGCTGGGAAATGATGGGAGAGGAGCAAGAAGAAGAAGCAGCAGCACCACCAGGGGAGAGACAGCTGACAGACTCAGTGTCTTTATAAAGCCTTCTCCCAGAACCTGGTGGGCATTGAAAGTAGGAGAGCAGAGAGCTCAGAGGCAGAAGGCACAGATCAGCCATTTTAGGGATGATGTATAATGGGAGAGACGGAAGGGGTGGGGTTTCACTTGGAGCAACACCATTACTCTAGGAGGCTGCATTTCCAAGCCTCTCTCTGTGAATATTGAATAAACAACATTGGAAAGAACTTCATTGTCTTATCCATTCCTGGCAACCTGCCGTGGGTGGGTGGGGTGGATCCTTTGAAGCCTGACAGAGTCTTACAAATACTTTGCACATTACTTTACACTTAATTATTAAAGCAATATGAATTTGTAAGAAATATTATGCTTCAAGGGGATTTATTTTGCATATCATTAATTCTTAAATTACAAAATGTTGCTAACCTCCAACTTGACATTCCCCATTCCTGGCTCTTCACAACATCTTGACCCCTCACTGCATTCCAATATTCTATTTGTGGTTATTCATTTTGTGCAAATTGTTTCTGTGACTTGTCCAAGACTTTTACCACTGTCTTTCTGCATTCCTTATGAGAAGCATTGTATCTTCCTTGTGCAGAAAGCCTGGACAGATGACTTGTCAGATTCTGTTCTGCTTGTGGAGCTGTGTGTGGGGTGAGGTCATGGAAATTATAACATTGCCCCATACCTCCAACCCTGTGGGATAGCCAGATTTTACAAAGGGGAGTTCAAAGCAATTTAGCTACATCATTTATTGCATCTATTTTGAACACCAAGCTATATAAACACCATAGAAATTGATTAGAGGAGAATAGTTTGGATTATGCAAATATCAATTGAACCCATGCTTTATAGCTTTCCACACCTGTCAGGCACTGTGAGAATGACTGCTTAATGTTTGCTACCATCTAGAGATACACAGCAGCCCAATACTGCTGAGTAAGTTATCTTGAGCTGAAACTAGTGCTTTTCTCAGCAGCTACTGACCAGATCAATAGCCGATTATGTTGAGGTGCTAGACAGGCAGGCAGTGATGACTTAGCAGCCTCTTAGTTATGAACAAAGTAGAGTTGTGGATAACATTCTTCTTCTGCCCTTTTTTCAAGGAGAGATGTTTGTGGTAGAAGAGGGGTCTTCAGCATGTGTCAGTTTAAAATATCTGGATGCCTCAGACGAAGACACAACTCCAGAGGAGCTAACTTTCTTCTTGGAAACTAGTCCTCAGTATGGATACTTGGAGAACATCCTTCCTACACCTGGACATGAGAAGAGCAATGCTGGAGTTAATATAAGTGAGTTACAGGCTTGTTGCTCTACTTCTCCCCCCCCCCCCAACTGGCCTCACCACTCACGGGCAACAATTATGAAGGAGAAACTGATAAGTACAAGGTTAGACTCTCCCCCAGGCCCAAACACTAATATTGGGCCAAAATATGGTTTTGGTATTTTTCATCACCCCTGTAGATACATTCCAAAGTACTAAGGTTGCTTTGAAATGATTTCTAGGCTGTCATCGCCTTTCTCTACATTTTCTTAAGCTTTTTTGGGGGCTGGGTGGGTATATATTTTAAGTGACTCTGGATCTAAGGAAGGAAAAAGCTTACGTGACTCTGGATCTGAAGGAGCCTTTCAAGAAACACACCCCACTCCCTGCCACAATAGATTTATATTCAAATGCTTCCCACCCCCATCTGTGCTACACTGATTCAGAAAGTAGACCCATGCTTAACCTCTTTGCACAAAATGCTCATATACAGGGTTAGGTAATGTATCAGAGAAGAACTTGGCACTTCCCTAGAATCTCCTATCTTTCCACAGAAAGTCGGACAACAGATTTCCCCTGCAGTCCCCCACTTCCATGTATACGTTCCAAGTGTAAGCAGAGCAAGACTGTGTGTTTGGTTCCACCTTCCCCTCTCCTCTCCCGATACTTTAGGGAAGAGGGAGAGGGTAGTAGGTGGCAGAAGACTGCTACAGTGGCAGACTTGGGTGCTATTGCACCCTGTGCGAAGCCAAAATTTGGTGCCTTCCCAAAGGATGGGTAAGGAGGCAGCCTGCTTTGGGAAGTAGGTGTGAGGGCTCTGGCAGGGTCCTAGAGCCCCACTCACCTCCTTCCCAAAGCTGGTAAAGCTCTAACTAGGCTAACCTGGGTTTTGAGAAAACACCCCTCAGCTCAGTGCCCAATGCACAGCCCTAAATCTGCCCCTCATTGCTATCAGCACAGTGGAACCTTTCTGCAGGGACATTTCCTGCCCAGGATTTTGGGTCTTGATTAGCAGAAGGAAATTGTGCTCTGTGCACCGTTTTCAATTTTCACAAAACCCTTTGCTGTGCTGCCTGTTTCTCATTTCTGCAAAGTAAGGCATTTTATTTATTTACTTATTTATAAATGCATTTATATACTGTTAAATCACAACACATTTCAAAGCAGTTTGCAACATTAAGAAGATAAAAATCATACAATAAAAGCATAAGAAGTTAGAAACAATTTAAAAAACTAATTTTAAAAATAAGCATTAATATTCTGTTGTGGAGGATAGACTCTTAATTACCTGCATAGGCCTGGCGGAATAAAAAAACCTTTCAGCAGGCTTTTAAAAACGGGAATGGAAGGAGCCTGCTGAGAAAGGCAAGGAACTGGCAAGAACAGCTGCTGTGTGAGCCCCAATTTGAGTTGGGCTTTGCCTGAAGGAGATTTGTATCCAAATCAAATTTGGCATATTGTATTATTTGTTTGTTACATTTATACCCAACTTGCCTCCAAGGACCTGAAGGTGATGTGCATAGTTCTCCGCCTCCTCTCCATATTTTCCTCACAACAAGCCTGTGAGCTAGATTGGGCTAAGAGGGAAGTGAGTGGCCCAAGCTTCATGAGCTAGTGGGTATTTGAACCCTGGTCTCCCAGGTCCTGGTCTGACACTCTAACCACCACACTGCAGAAGAAACTTGAGAAGCCCCTTTCAAAATCCACTCCATCTGCACATGTCTCTTCAGATGCTTCTGGGCTGTTAATATTTTGTGGGAGCAATTCAGTCGCATACCAAAATGTTAGGTTTGTGTGTGTTTGAAGTAGATTGAAGTGCTCTTTTACCCAACAAATCCACTTAGAAAACAAAAAGAAAACTGGATCGAATAAACAGGTTGTCCAACGGAGCCCTCCCTTCCTCCCAGTCTTAATGGACATGAAGATTAGATATGGCAAAAGCTGTTTTCTTATGGACACCGGCTATATGCAGTAGAGTTCTTCGCTGTATATGCAAGATGATTTACGCGTATACTTAAAATATGAAATACGAGTTTGACAAGGAGTCAAGGCTGGCCTTCACTTCTGTTGCATACACTCTCAGCAGTAAATGTGAAAAATAATAGAATGGATTTAATTCTCTGCTTTTAACACTTTGACTCTCTCCAAAAGGTGTGTTCACTTTTCAGAGTCTCCAGGCTGGTTATATCAATTACGTTCAGTCAAAGCATGAGCATTTAGAACCCTCCTCTGATCACTTCATGGTGTCTGTTAGTGATGGCTTTCATAAATCTTTGGCAATGCCTTTCTACATCATCATTGATCCGGTAAATGATGAAATCCCAAGCCTGCAACTTAGGAACCTAACAGTAAGTCTGAGAACTTCTTCCACGGCAGTTCTTTGCTTTCTATAATCTATTTGCACAAAATGAAAGCCAGGTATAAAAACATGAGGGATATCGGACAATGTTATAATAGGCGGACCATGGTAGACAGCAATTCATTGGATATGCCAGGTATATCACCTCTGTGCAGATGTGCTCTGCCATCTGTCTTAAATGTATGTTTCATGAAAGCTATTGGAAGCAATGTAGAAAATACCATAGAATATGCCAAAAGGCTTCCAATGTATTTGTCATTTACTGGGGAAGGGGCTCTGCTCTCCAACCCCTCCACAATACACTTTATTTGCTGCATTGTCTGTCTAGTCAAGAAAACTCCCAGTTTCTCCCATTTTTTTTGTAGCCTCATTTTGCACCCATTTTCACATTCACTCCCATGTCTGTTCCTTCTTCCTTCCTCCTTTTCTTCAACCCTCCTTTTGCACAGACCATCTTCTGTATCCTCCTCTTCTGATACATTATAACTGCTAAGCACTCTTTTTACCTTCCACCCAATTATGTGTGGAATGTAATCCACTGAGAGCAGTCAAGTACAACATTCCTTGTTTTCCTAGAGTGGACATGCAAGGGAATGTTTGGTCCACCAATCGAAACTTCCTGTTCCTTCTGGCCTGGAGCATCCTTCCTTGCATGTGACTAGTGGGTGGGAGTGACCTTTCCAGACCTGGTAAAAGGACAAGGCATCCTGCCACTCTCTCTCTTTTCCATCTTCTTTTTGTCCTGCGAACTTACTGGAATGAACTGCTGACTGCCAGCCAAGCAGTCCCCCAGGTCATCTCCCTTATGGGATAAACCTGTTAGACGCGGGTGGCACTGTGGGTTAAAGCCTCAGCACCTAGGACTTGCCGATCGAAAGGTCGGCGGTTCAAATCCCCACGGCGGGGTGCTCTCCCGTCGTTCGGTCCCAGCGCCTGCTAACCTAGCAGTTCAAAAGCACCTTCGGGTGCAAGTAGATAAATAGGGACCGCTTACCAGCGGGAAGGTAAACGGTGTTCCGTGTGCTGCACTGGCTCGCCAGATGCAGCTTGTCACGCTGGCCACGTGACCCAGAAGTGTCTGCTCCACGTGACCCGGAGTGAGATGAGCGCACAACCCTAGAGTCTGGCAAGACTGGCCTGTACGGGCAGGGGTACCTTTACCTTTTATAAGTTTGTAACTTTAAGCCTAAAGCCTGCCTTCTGGGATCACACTGTGCTCTGCCTGATCGTGAGTAAACTTTCTTTTTATTGCTTATGAATAAGACTGTGGTGTCTTTATTCTTTTAGGAGGGATTCAAGGGGGTCTTACCAGGAAAATATTAGAACACATTTCAATCTGGACAAGCCAGATTGAGTTGCGTATTGTCTTAAGAAACTCACACGAGTCTGCAATAGTTTTCTGCTGTTTAAAGGGGAATGCAAACTCTGCTAAGTAAAGGAACTTGCTAGTGCAAGTTAGGAAGGATATTAATAAACAATATATCCTCTCCTGCCACCCTGAACATTCCCACATTATGAAGGCTCCATCCCCTCCTATTCTGCAACCCCTTCCGTACCCTTGCTTTCATCTTCACCCCACTCCTTCCTCGTTTACAAGCCCCCTTTGCACTCCCCCATTTTCACCTTCACTCCCTTTCCCCTTCTTCCTTTCCCCAACTACTCCTTGCATACAGGCCACACCCTCCACTCTGTTTCCTTCACTCTCTTATTCTGCAGCCCCCTTTGCACACTCCCTCCCTTTTCCTTTCTTCCATCCATCCTCCTATTTTCAGATCCCCTTTGCACAGAGACTGCCTCAACCTCCTTGCCTCCCCCCCTCCTCTGTGTCTTCCTTCTGCAGATGTATGTTACTGCATCTTTAAGAATAGGCTCTTAAGAGTAATCCTGTACATATATTGGTGTTTGCTTTTTAATAAAACAACTTCTTGAAATTACTACATTGGGAAGAATTCTGCACCATGCAATGGTGAAGGTGGGTGAATCTACACGCAGGAGGGAAATGCTATAAATAAATCAGAAATTACGTTGTTACAATAAAAGAAAGAAAAAACGTTATGTAAAAATTGCAAAGAAATTTATTTTGCTCTCTGGCCCCATCTGGTGTTGCATATTTACAATGCATTCAAACATGTTTTTGACTAATGTAGCTGAGTCCGGTCTCATCAGCTTGCCAGACAGAGTGACCCACTGCTCTTACCCCTGGGGCATGCTGTTTCTCACCTGGTCATCATGGTTTTTTAAATGAGGAGGCGGCCATTGGAGGGGTGGGAGGGAGGGAATTATTGCCCTCGAACTGGTAACTTGTTTAATTACCAGTGTCCAATAGGGGTACATGCAGCTCAGACTTGAGTAGGAAACGGAAAGGAAAGGAAGAATTAAATGATTAATGACAAATTAGACAGGAAACATGTGGGGTGAGGGGAAGAATTAGGATAATGAAATCCTTGAAACGAAGCAGATTTATTTTTGATAGTGCAGCTGCAGATGCAATTTCTTAATCCTCTGTCTCCAGTAAGCATGGACACCACCATAAACACTCCATATTTGCAGTGTGTGTGTGTGTGTGTGTGTGTGTGTTGTCGACTTCCATGGCACAAAATAAAAGCTCAGTAAATATGGGCCTCCATATGTGGTTCTCAGCTGGTGTAAGTCCCTGAATGAGAAACATGTGAAGGGAGGAATTAATGCTGCACACATGGTGGCTGAACTTGAAAGCAATAGAAATTGCACCTGAGAATATTTTACACTGGGTTATGGAACGTTTGAAGATGAATGGGAGCTTGAACCCTCCTTAATGTATTGCATCATTGGTGTTTCCAGGGGGGCAAGGGATTATAAATGTGTGAGCTTGACACATGAGAGAGATAGCACTTCCTTCAAGTGAACAGCAAACTGCATCAGGCTTAAATAAAACCACTCACAGGAAGATGAAAAGAATTTGAAGAGAACGTATCTGGACAAACTCCTCCTGTCTCAGTGGTTGGACTGTTGTTTGGCTTTGACCTGGATCCAGAAAGAGCTTAGTACCTGCTACCTTGCAGCCTTTGTAAAACTCAAAAGAGACCTACCTCACAGTTTATTGTAAGGATGATTGGGGACAGAATTATTTTTTTAAAAACCAGTTAATTTATTGTAATTGAAAATTGATTTATGTATAGCATAAACATTAAAGTATATCATATTGTAATAATGGGGGGGAAATGACCCTGAGTATCATTCTAAAATTGTTCGAAACATCTCATTTATCCGCAAACCTTTGTTGGTTTGTTTTTTTGGGGTAAATTTTAGTATTAGTATTTCATTTTATAATGTATATAAAACAGAGAGAGCAATTATAACAACAGACAAACATTAAAAGATGAAAAGCAAAACTACTAAATAGGCATGTAGAATGAGTAGTTGCACATGAGTTAAAATAAAACGCAAAGGCTATGAGCTTGAGGGTCTGATAAAGATAGTTCCAGATTCTCCAGGCTTTTTATGAGGGTTGTCTATGATGGTTCTACTATATATGTCATAATGGAATGCCAAATCATATAAAAAGTATATGGAAGCTCTAGTAATTATTGAAATATCAAATTAGGTGCGGTTTTCTTCATTATACTGCACAAACCTTAGTTGCATTCGTAATTCATGGTTGGATCAAACAACCCACATCATTTTTTTTCTTTTCAGAAAAGCAAGTGTGTCCCAGAGTTTTATCATCCTTCATATTTTGGATTTGTTTAAACTTCCTGTATTTATTGTATTGGGGACGCGGGTGGCGCTGTGGGTAAAAGCCTCAGCGCCTAGGGCTTGCCGATCGAAAGGTCAGCGGTTCAAATCCCCGTGGCGGGGTGCGCTCCCGTTGCTCGGTCCCAGCGCCTGCCAACCTAGCAGTTCAAAAGCACCCCCGGGTGCAAGTAGATAAATAGGGACCGCTTACTAGCGGGAAGGTAAACAGCGTTTCTGTGTGCGGCTCTGGCTCGCCAGAGCAGCGATGTCACGCTGGCCACGTGACCCGGAAGTGTCTCCGGACAGCGCTGGCCCCCGGCCTCTTGAGTGAGATGGGCGCACAACCCTAGAGTCTGTCAAGACTGGCCCGTACGGGCAGGGGTACCTTTACCTTTACCTTTATTTATTGTATACAATTGTAGGTTCAATCTTCAAGTGGAAAAGTAACACTCTTTAGCCTTCTTCATGTTCTAAACCAATTTTCTTTCCTGGAATATTTATTTATTGCTTCCAGGATCTGTTTTCGACATTTCTTTATTTCAAGAAAGGGGAATTTGTAGCCATCCATATGTTGAGGGGCTCCAACTCCCATCAGCCTCAGCCAGCTTGGCCAATGGTCAGGGATGATGGAAGCCCTATCCCCTCGGGAGGCCCACAGATTTCCCAGCCTGTTTTTCTTCTTCACAATCCTAGCAACAAAGGGAAAAGACTCCCCCTTGCTTTAGAACATTTCCAAATCTGGGATCAATCTGGTAGGCTCATTATAGACAACTTCACTGGGGTCCTATACCAATGAGCCATCATTTTAACATGATTTAACATCATTTTAACAGAGTGATAGCAGTGTGAGTCTGTTGCAACAAAAGCAGCGAAGAGTCCAGTAGCATCTTAAAGATTAAGGTAGCAGCATCCAGTCATGTTCTCTCTGCCAATGGAAGGCACCTGCCAATTATTGTATTTTAATATTCTGTTGAAAGCCGACCAGAATGGCTGGTGAAACCCAGCTAGATGGGCAGGGTATAAATAATAAATTTTATTGTTATTATTTTTATAAATTGTTCCACATATAATGCCATGCATGTACATTGAACTGTAAACCTGAGCTCCATGTTCAGGCATACTTCAGAAAAACCTTCAGCTGTGTGTGCACATGTAGATTTCTAGGATTGTAACCCCAATGAGCACTGGGCCAATGCTTGCAATCTATAGTGTAAATTAAAGTCCTAGTAAAAGAATTTGTTTTCTTTGGCTAGGTTTTTAGAAAAGCAAACTAGTTTGGGATCACCCGTATGTGCTGCTCTTCCCAATTAGAGTTGCTGAAAGAAAGGAAGAAAAGCTCTACTTTCTAATGGAATTGAACCAACATACCAGATGAGCCATGTAACTAGGTATCTGAATTGTTTAGACACATTGGTTTGCTTCTTCATGACATGAAAGTAAACAATCTACAAATAGAGAAAAGAGACAGCTCCACACTCTGTATTATATGTTAGTTGAAGTGCAAAAAAACTGTGGTGGGACATATGCAGTATGGCTTCTTTTTAAACAAATATGTGTGCATATGTTGGGGAGCAGGCAAGGTAATGCTTTGCCAGAAGTTTTCTTGTTTATCCTACAACTCTTAGGCGAAAGCAGAACTGGTGCAAACTAATTGGGGGTATTCCTATGGAGCCGTCCATTTGCAGAGTGAAAACATTAGAACTGAAATGAATGTGGGGTGGCGATGATGAGATTCTAAGTAATTTTCCCTTACTTGAATTTCCTTGGATATATTCAAAACTGATAACTGTTATGCATGCACTGTAGTGTTGTTTTTGAGGCAGGTGGAACTACAGCGCCCTAGTATTGAACTTGGATAGCTGATACCTTAGCATCCATCAAGAGAACTTCATTTAAGCAAATTCAAGATAAATCTCAAATGTGAACATTCAGTTGACAATTTATTTTCACATGGAACTGGAATGTTGATTGTCTGTTCAGTTTCAGGTGTTGTATGATACTTTCCTTTCATCTTTAAAACAGAGCCTCCTTATTTGTGATGCAAGTAATCTGCCAATGGGCAGGACTGCCAGTTAGCAAGTCTGGATGAAACAGTTCCTCTTAGGGTCCTCCTGTCTGCATGCAGACATTCACTAAAGCCACTATATTAACAGGGTTATTGCAGGGCAAAAAGCATAAAAGATATATGTCCAGATAAAAGAAATAACCAGTCTACAAGCCAACTTCTTTTGGGCACACTGACTGTTCTACATATGAATACTAGTTGCTGCTTTCTCCCTGTGATATATTTGGTGTTGTATTAGAACTGAAATGCTTTAAAAAGTAGGTTCACTTAGCAAAGATTCTCTAGTTTCTTAATTCTGTAATTTTCAATTCTTTTTTCTTTTTTGAAATTCATGTTTTCCTCTAGGTAATGGAAGGTGACATTAAGGCAATGGGTCCTGGCACCATCAATGTTGAAGATTTTGACGTCCCTCAAGATGTGCTGAGATTCTACATTGCTACTCCACCTCGCCATGGTGTGATACTAAATGGAATTTACGGCAGAGATACTGGACGTTACAAACAACTAAGCCCAGCCGTACTCCATAAAGATTTAGAAATCCACAGCTTTACACTGGAAGAACTTAAACAAGGTTGGGGCATCATTTTATTGCCTGTCTTTGGAGAATATGAAATGCACTTTCATAGTTTATACAGGGATGTGTGTGTGTGTGTGTGTGTGTGTGTGTGTTGTACAGCTTGAAACTGATCTTGAGAGGGACAATGTATCTTTGTGAACTGTACACGAGAGAACAAATGATATTCGCATATGGAAACAGCCAGTAGAAATATGTTATAGGTCTACAGTTATATGGCAGTATCTGAGCAAGGTAATATCTAAACATGGTTTGCTCCATCATAAGGCAGAGTCAGTGATTGCCTGCCCCTGCCCCTCCCCACTCCCAGTTTAAAAAGCACTTACAGTCCTCCTCAAGCAAAACCCAAATGTAGCCTTTTTATTGGGTAATAAAAATAGCACATAATATTGTGTGTTTCTTGTTTGCAGTCCACGCCACAGGGCTCACCCCTAACTGGCACTGGTCAACTCCAACTGTCCATCAACCAGCAGGCAGGCTGATTGAATTCTGGCCAATGCTTATGTCAAACCTGCTTCATCTGTAATCATTATAGTTGTGGCCTAGCTTGATTCCAATACTTGTCTCCTATATTGTATGTACTATTTTGCACACACATCCCACAGCCTTCACTGTGCCTATGGTTCGCAACCGTGAGATGAAGATGATGGGTGCTCCAAACGTCGCAATGGGGTGCTCCGAGCCCAGCAGCAGACAGAACAGTTCTTCCAGGATAAAGAACTGTTTCAGTGATAAATTTTCATCAGCAAATTAATAGTCCCCAAAGGTACATCAAATGGCCGTGGATCAGCTATCACTCAAAAGTGTAGTAAGAGAAAGGGCTTTACAATGCAGCATTTTTGTCTCTTCGCTTATTGTTGCTTCCTATTCTTTTCCTTGGGGAATAGGGTCATAGCTTGGCAGCAGAGGATCTGCTTTGCTTGCAGAAGACCCCATGTTCAGTCCCCAGCATGTCTAGGCAGGGCTGGAGAGTCCCCTGCCTGAAATCCTTCATAATCAATTCCAGCCAGAGCAAATCATGCTAAGCTAGAATAAACCAATGGTCTGACTCAGTATAAGACAGCTTCCCATGTATTGCAGGGATAACTGGAACTTTCTCAGTGGGCAAGTCCAGCTAAAACTTGAAGAACTCTAATAGAACTGTGGTTGCAGATAATACAAGTAGATGAAAAATTAAAAGGCAAAAGTAAATTTCTTATAAGTGAATATGGAACAGATGCAGTTGCAAAAACATCAGTATGACATATTCCACTATGCTACTTATCACATGATGAATGGGGGCTCACATGGCTATTTGCCTAACAGCAAAAAAATAAAATCTTGAGTGGGGAACAAGGACAAATAATTTATCAGGTGTTATGTAAGCATGGATGAGACTTGTAAATCTTTGAAGGAGAAAGAAATGAAATTATTTGTTTTGAATGCCTCACAAGGATCAATTATAAGCTTCTCAGTTTGCTTTAGCAAGAAACTAGATTTATGTTGTATGAGCAACGGATGGCCTCTACTGGAAACCACAGTTCATTGCAGCACTGAAAGAAAGAGATATAAAAATATTTGCACCATCTAGTTCTCTGTGATACTTAAAAACCAAAACCAAAATGCAGAAGGCTCCTCCAGATGACCTGTTCAATGAGCACACATCCTCATTTGCTTATAGGTTTAGACTATGCCCAGTCTGCATTGATCATTTGTTCTGATTTATTTGCAAGGAGGTTATACAATGAGCATACATCCTGATTTGTTCATGGGGTCTTTAGAAATATTCAGGTTAATCATTTGTTCATTCCACACTTTTCAATGCATTTCCCTGTCACTTCCCTAACTGCAAAAGGCTTTAAAAAAGAAGAAGTAGATTTGTTGAAGGGCAACAGAATGCTTCAGTCCTCTTTAATTATGCAAACCTAAATTTCTGGTACATGCATGAAACACTCCAGCAAAACCCCAACAGTCTAGAGGTGACCACAGAGAGATGTTTGTCCTTTACCAAGAGTAACACTGACCTAAATTCTTGCCATGGCAAAAATTATATAAGACTTGAACCTTGATTTCCCCAACACTAATATTCTATTTTCCTTCTTGCTTACTTTAAGTTCTACAAACATTTTTGTGCAGATTGCACATAATAATAATAATAATAATAATAATAATAATAATAATAATAATAATACCCCACCTTTTTCCCTAGCAGGGACTCAGTTTACAGGTAAAAATAATGATGGCTAAAAACATAGAGGGGAAATAATTAAACATAAAAACTCAATCAAAGATAAATAGAATAACTTACTGTAACTCTTAAAATGTAATGTTTTATGCAACATATTGTTTAATATGAAAACAAATGAGAAATCCCAACACATTGTGTGTTCCCATAATATTTCATCTTGAGCTGCGTCACACTGGCCAGTGACCAAAGCAAGTTGTGGCTCAAGTTTTCCCCAACCAAGAGAGCTTTCTGAAGAAAAGAAAGTTCATAGAATATTTGCTTGTCCTTTTGTGGTTAAAGATATCATCCTTTCTCTTGAAAAACAACAACAGAAAAGCACATGTGAGCAAGAGACCCTAGCAGAGAGCTGGCAGTTGAATGTTGCACTCAGTGGCACCTCTGCTGCTAACACAGCTCACAGAATCAGCTTAGGAACTAGAAACAGCAGATCACATATCTCCTCAAGGTTGGCATCTGTGCCATGAGCTTACCAAGTATAGCAATGTAGCAGTGCAGAGTGGATGGGCAGAACAGAGCTAGAGGCAATCTGGCATTCCAGAAAATCCAGCATTATTGTGGTTTTACATTGATATAATGTAGAAGGCCTAGGCTAGGCTTTAAAGAAGTTTAGTTAAGCATTAGCATTTGAACCAATGGTTATATAGAGATGGCACCTGAAATGATATGCAGCATGGTAAAAACAATATTTAAAACATCCCTTCTAGCAATATAAAAAATTAAAGCCTCCGCTTTAACAGGTGCTCTGTCTGAGAACATCATTAAATAATAAATCCAGGTCCAGTTGTCTTCAGCCAGCCTCAAAGACCTTCTGATAAAGCCAAGTTCTAGGCAGCTAACAAAATCCCTATCAATACTGTGATAGCTAAGTATGTGCTTGAAGTTAGAGTGCATTCAACAGTTATGGGGTCACCAAACCCTGCCCTGAACTGCGTTGTCATGAGCCCAGAAAATCCATCTCATCCCAGAATCCCTAATGTCTCACTGTTACCTTCTCTATGTGCTTGTCAAAAGAAGAGGGGAAAGTTTTAAACTGATCTATGGTGGATAAAAGCTACCATGTCAAGTGAGTGTCTCTTCAAAAGCTAAGAAAACATCACTCTTTCAGAATCTTGAAAAAACAGGCTGTCCCCCAATGATCTATATACCGCAGCTTCTATTTCTTAGTGTACAAAAACATACAAACTTACAAGTGGAGATCCAGAGTGCATGGGGAGTACAGTCTAGAAATAAAAAACATTAAAACAAAAATACAACATGGAAGTCTTCACAAGTGCAGGAAACAATCGTGCAAGCTCTCTCCACCTCATGTGTTTACTTTAGCCCTAGTCAGAATACTTGTATAGGGCTTACACACCCTCCCTCTTCCCCACTATATCACACTGGCTCTAATATTGAGCCATAGGAATAAGCAGGATATGAATTGTCCCAGGCACTCATAGTATGGCTTCATGGTATCTGTATTTCAAATGCCCATGCATTTGATAAATGACAGCATTTAAACCAACATTTTCCCTTTCTTTCTTGGCAGTGCTTTGACAGTCTTCTGTGATGGAAGGAATGAAAGCACTTAAAACATTTTAGTTCTGCATCAAGGAAAAACATTAGTTATTCAGCTGACCTGATTGCTCCTAAAATATCTATATTTTAATACTCTTCCTTCAAATTCCACCTTATTTGCATTTTCTGAACATCTGTTCATACATTCAAGCTGCTTTGAAGTCATCCAGGATGCTCTGCAATTCTGTGACTCTCTTAATCGAAATGATGTCCTTTTCCATAAAAAGTCTGGTTTTATTTTCTGTATGAGCCCAAGTGGGAAAGTTGAGTTGAATAGACCTTTTCAAAGAAACAAATGAGCCTCAAATGTTCATTTCACTTCCCACTGGTTGAGAACCTTGACCAACTCTGAGTGATTCACGGCTTTGCAGTACATAATTCATCCATTCATTACTTGGCAATTCATTATATTGATGTTTACACAACTAACTAGCTATGTAAACAGTGCCCAGTACCTTAGACACTTAAATATTCAATTAAAATAAAATAAAAATTGCAAACTGCAAATTTTGAATTAAGTGACCATATGTAAGCAGACTGATAGCTGAATACTGGAAATTTGGCAGACAGGACAGGCTCATAAATGCATGCTAGCAGCATTCTAAATAATTTAATACAAGAAATATTTTGACATATTCATAACTATATGGCATTTATTAAAAATATGCCAACTTCTCTTTTGCATGATGCACTAATATTGCTAAGAGGAAATAGTGAGTGTCCTGAAATAAGAATTAGAACTGTGTGTGGCTAAGCTGGTCTAGACGTGCATCAGAATGAGATGGTAGAATACTGGAAGTAGTAGAACGGGCTATTGGCTGCAGGTGGGGAGTGCTATTTCCCCCTCTAATATAGTAAGTTCTTTTTGTTTTGGACTAGCATCTAGAGTTAAGCAAGAGGGAGACTTTTTATTTGTATTTTTTTTAAAAAAATACAACTGTGTTTTATACTCTGCATTTTCATCCCAGTTGTATCTCCTGATGTTGGAATAGAGTAACATATTGTTTTAACTCTATTAAACACAAATAACTTTTCACATTTAGGACTGTAGCCCTAGCACATTTTCCAGATATGTTCTGTTATTGTTTTTGGACTCAGTAGGCTTTCACCTGTAAAATCATTCATGCTACATACTCTGTACAAGGGGCCGAATTTAACCAAGTTGTTGCACTAGCAGAAGCCAGCACAACTCATCCCACTAGTGCAATGGGGCTTCCCCTTCTCCTAAGTTCCATGAGCCCTCCATGCCCTCCCTGGTCTTCTTTGGGAGGGTCAGGAGAACCCCTAGAAAGGTGGAGGAGGTAGGTGATGGTTCCACCTGGCAAGCAGAAATCCTTGGGCTGATGGAATGATCTCCTTACTGCAACATTGAATTTCACCCAAGAACTGTACAAGAAAATGTTAAAACTTGGTTAAAGGAGGGACCTGGGAAACTGTCATAGCTTGCTGTAAGTATTTAACTGAAAGACCTTTGTATCCAAACTTGCACTAAAATGTAGACACTTGTGTCCATCAGAGTTTTCCTAAACCAGTCCCTAACTAAAAATTTAAAAGCCATGTGAGTTAGTTTTTGCATTTTCAAGAACTCTTCACTCAATGACCTCAGTGTTTAAAAGGACAGGAGGGAGCAGGATTTGTTATCAATAGAGGGCATGAGGTAACATAAACTCATGAAGTCCCATCTTCAAGTGGTGATTAAAGGTCACTTTACAGACTTATGGGGGGCAGAAATGCACCCCATAGTTTACATACATCAAAATGTATTGGTCAACTGCCCGAATAATTCTGGGTTCTATCCACTTCAAATTCTGATAATCCCAGCTGGCTAGCAATTCAGGGATTAAATGGGAAATAAATGATCTTAATGCCTCAAAAAGGCCATTTGGTGATATCAAGTTGTTCTTGGCAGTTCTGAAGTACCTTAATGGTATCCTGCTATGATTGTTTTGTTTGAAAGGAAATAACACATGCAAGCTGCAGGATAACTTAATCCGTTCCTTCGAGTTTATGTAGCTTTGATACCCTAAATTCCATTTGGTTGTTGCTTGTCTTTAGAATGTGGCACTTGACTGCTGTGTTCAAAATACTCCGTTGTCTCTGGTACTTTCTCCGATAGGACTGATGCTTATGTACATGCATGATGACACAGAAAGCCTAGAGGATAGTTTCACCATTCAGCTGACAGATGGCAAGCACACAGTCCAAGGGACACTTTACATCTTCATCCCGCCAGTCAACGATGAAATCCCTCATCTTTCCAGGTTAGCTGTTGAAGTGACATTCTATGCAAAGTGACTTTAGGAGAGACGGGGGAAACATTTTATTTCTCTTTAATTGTTAACATGTTTGATGAATTGTTTATTGGCAAGAAGATGGATGCGTTGCTTGTCTCTTGGCAATTGTTAATTCTTTTCATTCTCGTTTCTTATGAAATTATGATCTTTTAATATAAATATTAAGGTCAGGATGCTGACATTAATTAATCCTCAACAAGTAGAACAAATAGGAAATATCAAAGCTGTGTTTCATGAGTAGGCTGGCTAGACACAACTACAGAGTGGAATTATGATGTCAGAATGGTTTGGAAGGAAGAGGCCCATTACGACTTCTAAAAATCACTTTATGCTATGGCAGGTGAATCTCTGTGATGTAATGTGTAAGGGCAGTGCGTGTACAAAACAGATATGGACCCATAGGGAGGACATTGAGTGTTGTGGCTAGAGTGTCAGACTAGGACCTGGGAGACCAGGGTTCAACTCACACTTGGCCATGAAGCTCACTAGGTAACTCTCAGCCTAAGCTACCTCACAGGGTTGTTGTAGGGATTAAATGAGCAAGGAAAGAACCATGTATACCACCTTGAGCTCCTTGGAGAAAAAGGTGGGATATAAATGCAATAAAATATATTTAAGTAAATTAATAAATCAAACATTTCAAAGAAAGCTGCCGTTACATCAGATCCAGCATATTATTTGTAGTGATTTAGTACTGGCACTTAGGGAGATTTTGTTCATTTAAAAATGGCTAAGTATTTCAATGTCAGTTCTGTAACAAAAGTGTGTTGTAAAAGTAAGTTTGGGGGTTTTTTTCATTAGCCAAAGTGAATTAACCACACCTGCCAACCCTATGGAATAGGTGAAAAGGACCAAAGGCTGATTAAGTTGTCCTTCAGGAATGACTAATCAAACCCCAAACTGAGAGTAGAGACAGGTAGGGTGGGGATGGGGTTGCAGTGCCAAAGAGTGCGTGCCGCTGCCACCACCTTTCTCACTTGAAGAGAGCATGTTGTCACCTAACCAATGAGATACTCACCCAGTGGAGGAGGTAGCAGCTCTGCTATATTAGGTGGGGGCCTTATTTTTGGCTTTACAAGCACCTCTACCCTGCTGAATGAGGTGGAGAGGACTTCCTGTTTTTAATAGTAGGGGACATCTGAAATGGAGTGTACCAGGGATCTGCCAGACTTCCATTTGTCTCAAGTAAGGGCAGTGTTATACATGAGGCAGAAATTACATTTGTACTGCGTTTGAAAGATGATGTTGGATTCTGAATCTGTGTGTCTCCTTCCCCGCTCCATGCAATATTTATTTCTCGCCCCTCAGGAACACAGGCTTGGAAGTTGAAGTTCATGAGAACAAAGTTATTTCCAGTGTGTCATTAGAAGCTGAAGACAAAGATTCTTTGAGGAATCAGCTCCATTATGTCATAAACAACAAGCCAAGATATGGACACCTGAAATTAAAGGTAATAATGATTCTCAGCGTTTTCTTCACACATGGCCCTGTCAACATGTGGTTGTGAAGCACAGGCACAGCAAAGGTTGTGGGATGTGTGTGCAAAATAGTACATACAATATAGGAGACAAGTATTGGGATCAAGCTAGGCCGCAACTATAATGATTACAGATGAAGCAGGTTTGGCATAGGCATTGGGCATGTACCCAAAATTCAATCAGCCCACCTGCTGGTTGATGGACAGTTGGAGTTGACCAGTGTCGGTTAGGGGTGAGCCCTGTGGTGTGGACTGCAAACAAGAAAAAAGTGACCATTTGACACACACTATCATATGCTATTTTTATTAATTTTATTTCCACGCAAAAGATCTTATATGCACTCATATGTGACACATGTGCATTTCTCTGCTGAGGAGCCAAACTTGTCAGTGCTTCTGTGTCGAATATACATTACGGTGATAAATATTCTTGCTGCTATGTTGAAGATGCTTAAACTAAAGATAGACATGGCAGAACAGGATGGAAGTGTAGAAGTGTGAGACTTCCTCTCCTCTCCCCTTCTTAGTATGAAAGGCAAAAAGAAACTGTACGCACATGGCGTCTTTTAAGTTAACATATAATAATAGTGTCTGATAGCATAAAAACAGTTAGCCTTGTCTCTTTCTCTGCTTCCCATTTGTTTTCTGTCCTCAAAAAGGTCCTATATATTAATGTCCTGTTCCGCTGGTCTTTGAGCCAACACTCTGCAGCTATAGCAAAACGTTTTAACTGGCTTGTATATTGGTGTGCTAAACCACTAGGCTATAGTCTTCCTTTTATAATTAAGTAACTTGAGAAATCTGTTGGGATCAATAAATTTTGAGAACGCTTACATAAAACAGAATATAAAGTGGATAGTCTTGCCATCAGAAGCCCATAAAAGTCAGTCCCTTTATGTGACACCTCTACAAATGGCATTATGTCATTGCATAATATTAGTAGGAAACTAAGATTTTTGTGCAAAACCATAAAATGTAATGAGTTTCACATAATCTACTCATATAAACGGAAAAAGAGTGAGAGCGGGGCTTTTTTGAAAGTGGACTTCCAGCTTTTTGGCATCCTGAAAACATAAGGAAATTTGGAAACTAGCTCAAAATAGAGATATGTTTCAGTAGTGGGCGGTTGATGTGATCTTTTTGCTTGGTGGGAACATGCACCTTGGCTGTTTTAACTGTTCAACTAGTGGTCTTAACTGGGGAAAGGGAATACCAAAAAGATCTGAAAATGGAAAATAGAAATAGTGCCAAAAGGGTTTTATTCCTAACTGAGCTAAAGTACTGTGTGTTGGTTTTTTGTGATCTCTAATAATGGAAGCTAGAAAATCCTTGCCCCCACCCCCACTTTGGCATGAAGACTTGCAACGAGGAATGGGAGATAAATTCAATTTGGCTCCTTTCGTAATGCAAACCTGCGTAATTTGCAGTCCCCAAATCACACATACATCATTTTATTTGTAAGCTGCCTTTCCACAGCCAAAACCATGCTCAAGGTAGCTTACAACATAAAGAATTACATTATTACAAATATAGAAAGTAGTATAAACCACAAATAAAACAAAAAGTACATGGCTGAATTGAACTATTTCCACATAAATCATAAGATGCAAAACAAAGATACAAGAAGTTAACATCTTAATAGCAAAAACCCACTACCAACAAAACTCCCTAAACAAGACCCCAACCCAAGATTCTGCTCAGCAGCCTCAGCTTTTGTAGCTGGAGTCGGTCAGAGCCCCACTCTCCCAGGTCAGGTGGGGAAACACCTGCAAGGCAGGGAGCACGTCTTCCGGGGCTCAAAGCAATACATAAACCGAAATGTACTGTAGCTAACTTTTGAAATATACATTTCTCCACATTTAGCGATGCAGTTCTCCAGCCAACTATTGTGTACAAAAATTGCACATATTGGGAAAAATGTGCTTAAAACGCATGTATTAGTGAAAATAACATTTTTTAAACGAAAACTTTCTTTTAAAAAAATTGCAAACTGATGCAGGAATGTGGAGAACTAGACTTAAAACTAGAAAAAATGAAAGAAATGTAAATTGGCATTTTTGTCTATCCCTACTCAGGTTATGTCATATGCATTTAGTGTAAAGGTAAGAACTTTGTTAAAGATGCTAAAAGATTTGTAGGAAGACATAGCCATTAACTGTGGGCTTGGAATGTGCTCAGAGCATAAAGTTCATGCAAATGCACTTATGTCTGGTCTTGGACAACAGCACTCAGCTTGAACTCTACACTTGTAGAGGGCCCCCTGTTTCTTCTTCTTCTTCTTCTTCTTCTTCTTCTTCTTCTTCTTCTTCTTCTTCTTCTTCTTCTTCTTCTTCTTCTTTATTTTTATTTCTACCCTACCCATCTGGCGGGGTTTTCCCAGCCACTCTGGGCGGCTCCCAACAGATTAAAAAAAGAATAAAGCATCAAACATTAAAAACTTCCCTAAACAGGGCTGCCTTCAGATGTTTTCTAAAAGTCAGATAGTTGCTTATTTCCTTGACATCTGATGGGAGGGCGTTTCCACCGGGCAGGCGCCACCACCAAGAAGGCCCTCTGCCTGGTTCCCTGCAACTTCACATCTTTCAGTGAGGGAACCGGCAGAAGGCCCTCAGAGCTGGACCTCAGTGCCCGGGCAGAACAATGGGGGTGGAGACGTTCCTTCACCCACTGCCCAGTGTTTAGAAGGGTGGTTCCTTCAGGTCCCAAGAACATCTGATTAGGCGGCTCCTCAATCTGGACAGCAATGTTGGGTAGTTAGTCAGATACCATTCACTCAAGGGTGACTCAGGGAGCATAAAAAAAGGTGCCCAGTACAATGAGCCACCTTGAGCTTGGCTAGGTGGCCTCCTATCATCTCCCAATCAGAAGGTCAAATAAACCTTACTGCCGATGCTACAACAAAATGTCTGACTTCTCAGTAGACCAACTGGACACCATAATCCCTAAACAGATACAGGAATGACATACAGATAAGACAAAGAAGCCACACCAGAAGCCATCTCTTGACCTCATGGCCAATGCACCATCTGGTCCTGTCAATCCAGCATCTCCCATCACATCAAGACATCCAGTCCACCATCTTCTTCAGGTCCTGCCCAATGGGCATGAATCAAAGATGATGAATAAATAGGATGCAGGGGATGGGGGATAGTGGACACAAGGTGACATAGGGTGCACAGCAATTTGCCCCCATACCATTCCCCCTTTCTCCACCCAGCAGACAGAAGCCCACCTGTTCAAATGAAGCTGGGTTTCAGACCTGCCAAAGAAGAAGAAAATTAGCAACAGCTAACCTCAAAGAAGTGAGACATTATCAATGCCCACCGGGGCTGCAGCTGTTGCTGTTCCAATGTAGAATGAATCTATGCCATTCCCAGAAGGATCGTGCTCAGAGTCCAAGGCACTGTGAACAATAACCCCAAATTGGAATTCTGTAAAAGGAGCACCATTAGCATAACAAAATAAACGTCTCAGATTTTTAGAGCACATTGCACAGTCAGTTTTAGACCTCCTGGTGCCCCTATCAAAGAACACTACATTCTCAATGGCGAGGGCCTAACCTGATGTATTATTTGTTGGATGTGCCAGGGACTCAGTAGTGTTCAGGGCTCTGGAAAATGCCACCCAGGCAACTGCTGCAAATAAAGAAACCTCAAAAGGTGAGAAATGCCACCAAAAGGACCTGAAAATGGAAAAGAGTAATAGTGCCAAAGGAGGCTTATGCTTGACTGAGCTAAAGTACTGCATGCTGCTTGTTATATTTTTGTTGATCCCAAATAAAGGAAGCTAGAATATCCTTGTAAATTCTTTAGCAATGATGAACGTGTTTTGCATTACTTGTTTTTTGCTTCTTTTAAACATATAAACTTTTAATGTGTCCGATCGGAAGAAATCCTGTTGAGTTTAGTGTTGAAATGTCACTAATTTAGCAAGAGGAAGGAAATGGTCATCACAGTGAGGTGTGTTTACACTTCTGAATACCTTGGATAGGTGTCAGAATTAAATATGGTCTGTGAAGTGGAGGGAAATGAGTTCACAGCTTCTCCATCATTTCAGTTCACGTACATAAACTTGTTTAATTCATGCAGTCAGTGAAAGGGTAATCCAAGTAAACATTTCCATGAGCTGGGGCGGCATCACAAGAGCACTTGGTGAATGGCTGCATGTGTCTGTTCACGGTAGCACAGTTCTGCAGTAATAGAAAGCTGTGTGTTGCCCCTCTGTCAAGTAGCCTGGAGGAGTCTAAAGTTCCCGAGGTTCCTCCCCCTGCTTAAGGAATTGGGCTCTTCTGCAGCTCTCCCCACACCTCATCCCTCCACTGGCAGCGATACTCAGCTTTGAGACTGTAAACAAGCACAAATGACAGTCCCCACCAATCATTGCTGGACTGGCAGCTTATATAAGAGCTGGAGGTTCCACCCTCTGCTCTCAACTAGGTCCTGATCCTGCAAGGTTCTTCTTAGTTTCTTCCCTTCCCAGCTAACCTCACATACAGCTAGCTATAGGGTAGCTCCTGAGCTTGTGTCTGGCTCACCAGCTCCTCTCCTGTGGCCTTTGGGGGAAGGTGAGGGTGCGGCAGTCTGAGAGCCAGCCAGGATCCCTGGCATCTGGTGTGATGACCTGCAGACCTGGGGCAGGAATGTCTGGACAATACTCCTTTCATGGTGGGGAGACACCATTTTGTGGTTCACCTCAGGTGCCAAAATGTGCTGGGCTGGCCCTAGCACAGACTGAAGAAGATCTCTTTGTTTTTGTATGAAAAAGCCCTTCAGTTCTCCACAGGGATTATATTTAGTCATAAACTTTAAATCTGTCTGATATTACAAGACTGATTCATCTTTCTGAGTCTATAATGAATCCCACTTGGAAGAGATGGAGACACTATATGAATATAGGGCCACTACATTAGAATGAGGGAAATGAATGTTTATCCATTCTGAACGTCTTTCAAAAATTGCTTGCTTTTGGATAGAGAAACTAACAGCTGTAAAAAACACACAAACTGAGCTAGTGACATAGCTTCAGGGGATAGACTTACTGTGGGACAACCATGCTGGGTTGCTTTGTTGCATGTATTATTTCCATGTTTTGTTGCTTTCAGTTTTGGAATACAGTAATTGCAATAATGCACGACTCTAGTCCTCATTCATATGATTAGTCAGATCATAGATGCTGCATTGAAATGAAATGTTTGTGATATACTTAACCACTTGGAAAGCAACCTTGCCCAGCTTGTTATATATGAAGATGTATTTTCTTTTTGTTTACATAAATGTATTTTTAAGTAACAAACTCTATATAAAAATGAACCTAAACGAACAGGGAAGTAGAAGTCCTGAGTGTTCTATTTCAAGTGGCAACTACACTACTACTAACTGTGTGAATTGGGCCTTTGTTTTGTATTCATTGAATGGGCAGCAGATTAGGTGGCCTTGAAACAAAGTGAGCAGGTTTTTACATCACACCTACTCTGCTCAGAAATGACTGAGGCATAAAACTCTTTGGCCTTATGGTACCGGGCTCATGCCTCATGTAGATGGCTGACTGCAATGTGAGACAGCATCAAACCCTGGCTGGACAACATGCAATGTGTATGCAGATTGCATGTAGAACCCCTACATCAATGCCTGTTGTTGGAGAGAGTCTTTTATCTGCTTTCTAAGTGCTGCATTAATAGAAACCCTCTGGCTTATATTATGATGGCATCTAATTGTCTTGAACCTTCTCTTGGAATAAAACCAGCTTCTAGCTAGGTAAGCAAGCACAAGTTGAAACACCTGGGCATCAGCTATGGACATCAGGGTGTGCTACAATGGATCCATCTGCATCTCTTGGCATGCACCAGGGCTCCCCCCGCCCCCCCCCCGTGTGACAGGTTGGAAAGCAGGATCCAAAAAGAGACAGGCTGGTGATGCTTCTCTAAAAGGCACACAGAAAAACACAGTTTTTTGGCGCACATGCTAATGGGTTAGGCAGGTCTGTGTGTATTTTCACAAATGTTAATGGTCAATAAATAACTAATGGCTAATTACCCAAATAATTTTGAGTAAAAGGGGTATAATGAAGTGTCCGTTTTATAGTAGTGTGGCAAGTCTTCAAAAGTCTCAATGAGCCCACACTGTGATGGGCTTGGAGAGGGAAGTCCTGGGTTCAAATCCCTATTCAGCCACGAAGCTTCTTAGGCTACCATGGCTTTATGACGATGGAAACTGGAAACAAACCCACACAAACCACCAAATGTTAAGTACTGGATACAAATGTGGTGGAGAAACTAATGTTATTTCTCTCAAATAAAGCCAATCTGAAATGACTTGCAACACTTGTAGATGGTTTAAGGATATGCAACAGGGTCAGTCACAAGTAACTAAATGCCACGCTAAAGGGTGGCTTCCTTTAGAAGGGTCAAAAAGTAGTTCAACACCCTTTTCCACCAGTGAAAGGCCATAGCTCAGGGGTAGAGCATTGGCTTTGTACACTGAAGGTTCTGGGTTCAATCTTCAATCTCTGGTATATTCACATAGGACTGGGAATGTCCCCTGTCTGAAGTCCAGGAGAGCTCCTGCCAGCCAGAACTAGACTGGCCAATGGTCCAATTCTGTGTAAATCAGCTTCTAAAAAGTTCACTCTATTCCTCACACTGACTCCTGCCACAGCCTTCAGACTTCTGTCTAGGCCCATATTGTGGTAGCTAATGATGGACCTGCAGCTCCATCCCATTGGCTTCAGGCCTTGCTGTCGGTGAGTGAGACCTCAGACGGTACCACCTGCTGCTGCTTTTTCTGTCTTTTGCCATTCTAGGTTCCAAGTGTATGTAGGGGCATTAAACCTTGGTCAGCCCCAGCTGTTCAGTAGCTCTTAAAAGTTAGCCATCTTCACAGCTGTTCAATATGTATATCTCTATAGCATGTGCAGCTTATGTGTGTGTGCATGCATTTGTTTCACCCACCCATTCCATGATGTTTTTCAGACGGCATCAGCTTGGAGCACTCTGCATCCTGGAATGAATTTCACTCAAGACGACGTGGACATGAACCGCCTCTGGTATTTCCATACGAACGTACTGAGTCCAGAAAGTCACGACAGCTTCCGATTTTTTGTGACAGATGGGAAGAACAGATCTCCACCAGAAAGCTTCTATATTTTCATTAAAAGTGTGGCTAAAGGTAGGAAATGAGGGTTGGAGAGTTTGGGGTTTTTACTTTCAGTGTATTATTAGTTCTTTTGGGGGACCAAGCTGTGTTGCATAACTACAGAGGGGAGCGGTAGAAGGCCCTGTGTCTCCTTATGTGACACTGATGTGCTTTTAAATGCATGGGTGAAGTTTGTACGCCGGCAATCTCTAAAGGATGCCATCTCTTTCCAGGATTCTGATGAACCAGCTAATTAGAATCCAATCCATTATGCGCATAACTAATGGCACAAGTTTACAGATCTGTCGACTATTATGACTGCATTCCCCGGTGTCTGTTCGTGACTAGTGACCAAAAGGAAGAGTTCAGTTCTGAAACCTCTGAATGTGCAGAGAGCCAGGATTATATCCCAGTTGAATTTCAAAGCTATCAGGAGTCTAGGCAGTTCAAGGCTCAATGTTCTGAGGAGGTGTCCTTAGGAGATCTTGGAATCTTTTGCAGATGGGAGGAGGGATATGTTACAAGCCAAGCTGACTCCTCTCACTATTCTGTCTTGAGGTGGGAGGGTGAAAGCCCACAGAATCGCATGAGGCCTGTTCCAACTATTGTTGCCGAGGCTTTTGGAAGTGAATAGAAATCACGTGGAGACACACAGGAGTCCTCTGAGTGTTAAATATTTCTAAATTTGTGCCAGGTGGCTTTAATTTATTGAACATAGGTTTTTGTGAAGTAGTGCTCCTGTCAGGAAGAAGATTGGCATAAGAGAAATGGAAGCAGCAAAATCTCAGGGGGTCTTCTTTGGCGAAAACCCTCTATTGAGTCCTCCTGTGACTTGTGCTCATAACTGCTGAGGAAAACAGGGATGCCATCTGTAAACTGTGATTCATAAACACTCTGTCAATCTGCCACGTTACCCTGACATCATAAAATAACAAGGAGCAGTATTGTAATAAAGAGGGGAGGTTTGCAATCAACCAATTAAATACATCTAATTTATTTTGGTTACAGCTGAGGCTTTATTTATTAGTAAACAGCTGCATTTATTATAGAGATTTTTATTTTTATTTAATCCGGACAAGTCAGTGCCAACTGGCACTTTTGATAATCTATTAATCCTAAATAATCTTCTGGGCTTTTCATGTATTTTTTTAGGGGGTAGGCGGAAATAAAAATAATTCAAAATTAGACTACAGTATTTTAGCATTTCTTTTCAAGTGTTTCCATCAAAGCTGCTAGAATCAGTCAATGAGTTGTTGACATTTTATTAATTCATATTTACAAGGAAAGTGGGGTTTGAATCTATAAATGCTGTTCCTCCTTCCAACCCATGCCAATAGGAGCCTCAATCGAGCTCCCGTTTTGTTTTTGTTGGTGAGAGATCTATATGTGGGCTTAACAGAGCAATCCTGTAGTCACATTATGCCTGGCTAGCAGATCCAGTCCTTCTCCACTAGTGGAATGGCCCCTATAGCCGGTTCAAGGAACAAAGAAAATGTACAACCCAAAGAAAATACAAAAATGGCATAAAAAATAACAAGACATCCAAGCTTCCAGGGATTGTGCCACAGACATTAAGCTGCAACACTGCAAGAGATGGTGTCTGTGTTTTCTTTCAATGATGTGGATCCCTGATGACTTCTCACTCCTATGAAAGCTTCCCCAAGGGGCATTTTGAACTGTACTTTAAAGCTATAGTTTATAAGCACTGCAGAGCAGCACAGGTGCTCTCTGGGCAAACCCATCCACAAAATGGTGCGTCACTCCCAAGAAGACCTCCTTTCCCAGAGTGAAGCTGGAAGCACCTGCCCCACAGCCACTGAAAGTGGGTGGGTGGGTGGGTGGGCAGGCAGGCAGGCAGGCAGGCAGGCAGGCAGGCAAGGAAGGAGGTATGGCAGCCTTGGGAGGGGCAGGAAGGAGCAGAATGGCAGACAGGCAGGCAGTGGGATCACTGTAAAATTAAATCTGGATCTCACATGCCAATCAAGTTTGAAATATAAAGTTATAAATATGACAAGCCCAGCTCTACCTAGCACAGAGTCAAATAAAGGAAATGCAAACTGAAATCCAGGAATCTTCCTGCAAACAGCGGAATTAAGATCGCAAACATTTGCATTTCACTATTAATCTATTTTTTCTTGCCGTTAGGTTTTTTTTTATGGTGCTATGTGTCAATGGTAACAGGAAGCAAGGAGTGCAATTCATTCTGAAGTTGTCCCACTGAATTCTCATTAAGCATTGTAAGCCAGAACTAAGCGTACCCTATAGATAGCACAGGGAGTCAAGACAACTGGAGTGATGCAGTTGCAGAGATGGCTACTAGTCTGCTTCTTTCTCATTATCTTTGGCATACTATGTAATGTAAAGCTTCAGACTCTAGAATGTGTATCTCTCTCCCCTCACCCCACAAGAGCCTTTCACATTTGCCCTAGCTAGACCCATGGGACAAGTCTGTTAGGAAATTGACCTGATACTGAGGTTACAGATGGAACACTCTATCATCAGGCTTACACTGTTTACCAAGATGGTGCAGAAGGTTTGATCTTTTCACCACCACAGTTTTGGGAAAACTGTTGGAGACTGCAACAAAAGGTTGCAGAAGAACAAGAAAAAAGTGGGGGTTTTTTTTTGCCAGGGCCAGAGCATTCTAAAGCCAGTTGCTTTATGCTGAAAAAAATAATACAAACTAATTAAATGGTGAAAAATACAAAGGTGACTGACTGACTTTAGGCTCATCAGCTCCAAATCAGCCTCAAAGATACCAATATAGTTTAAAAAAATGAAAATTTCAGAATCTTTTTCTTTGTATACTTTCATAAGGTGATGTACAAATGAGTTTTTCTGATTTGTAAGCTGTTGGCCATCATCCATTTTTGCTACTGTGCTTTCTCACACAGCCTTTTGTGTTCTCATTTTTTTAAAAAAAACACGCTTTCATTAAAAAAAAATACTCTTGTTTGCCATCCTAGCTACACTTATTCGTAGTTGGAAATGGTGTTTCAATGCAAACAATTTCAACTCCTGATCCTAGTGGGCCAGTGATCCAAACGTGGACTGCTTAGACTTGTTTGGCTGCCCATTGGCATATAACATAAGCACAGAGGGAGATCATAAGTAAGAAATGGGTACTGGGCTCTGCACTCATGCACAACTGCCTCCTCTCCCCTCCTCTCTGGTAGTAATTCTCCCTTCTCTTAAGTTATGATGGCATAGTGTTGCTTATGCAGCAGTGCTAATCGAGTCTAGATTACCTAATAGGGCCAAACTAGGCAAGACAGTATTCGTGAAATCCATAAAGAACTGTCCAGATTGAGATGCTGGTGGGCATGAAAGAGTGTTTTACCCCCTTCCCCCCTTCAATCTGGGTCTCCGCAAGCACAAATAGCAGGTGCATTGGGTCTGATCCTGACTGGGAACACAGCAAGGGGCAAAGGGTTAAAGGCTTCCTACTTCCCTATCAGAAGCCTATACAGCTTGGGGTCAGGATACCGAAAAGATTGTCTCAACCATTATATAGCCAACCAGTCACTGAAGGAAGAGGGTCTTCTGCAGATACCATCTCATTTGGAGCAGTTCCATAGGATGTAGGAGTTGGACTTTTACTGTGGTTGCACCTACCCTCTGAAACTCCTTCCTGTTATATCTTATTTATTTTTTAATTCATTAAATTTATATTCTGCCTTTCCTTTCAAAAGAATCTATTGTCTTTTGGTCACCTATTGAAGAACTTCCTTTTTCAGCAAGCCTATAACCTGGGTATTCTTATCTCTGTCTATATCTATATTAGATTTTAAATTGCTTTATATTGATGGGGTTTTTTTGTTAATTGCTTTGGAGTGTTTCATGCGATGCAATTTATAAATCACATAAATACATACATACATTAAATCTGGATTTGGCCCTCCACACCTGCTATTTACTTTAAAGTCTAGTTTGGATCTTAGCCAGCATTTGCAAACCACTTTAAAACTAATTTCTTTCAGATCCAAACTTGACAGGGGCATATTTCATGTGTCCTTGTCTTTCACCTATAAAGTGGGAGGCTGGACAAGTCTTTCTTTTAGAATAAAAAGAGCATGTGAGAAAGGGATGCTGAAGTTTTCCCTTCCAGTCCCCTCCCAACCTCCTGAGCCTTTCCTCTTCAGGCCACTGCCTTGAGAACTTGTCTCTTTACCTGGCTCTGATACTGAGAATGGAGACAAGTGGCTGCTGCAACCACCTGAGAGGACCGAAGGCGTGAGAGAAGGAGGTTCAATGCTACTCGGGTGATCTCAAGACATTTTGCTGCCTGAGGCAAAAGGACAAGATGGCATCTTCCCCCCATGCCACATACAGAATCTGAAAGTACTGGCAGCTGAATTTTATTTTAACGTTGGCAAGAGAGCAACATTTCCCACTGTACCCGCTGCAGCAAGCTAGTTTAAGAGGTGCAGAGCAAATAAGCTTAAAGAACTCGGGGGATATGGCAAGGGGGCTGCTGCTGCCCCTTGGCTTCCCTCTCCCGAGGCAGCTCCCTCACTCTGCCTAATGGTAGGGACGGCCCTGAGTGCCATTCTCCATGTTCTCCCTTTATTGTAGAAGTAGGACACCCACTAATACCAATCTCCACTTTATGTGTGAATGCAGTAGACATGTAAAACAAAATCCTGTCTACCACTGTCCAGTCAAGTTCCCCCCACCCCTTGATAAGATGAGAGCCCTTCTGAGCATTCGCTAGGCCCAATTGCCAGCTCTGGTGCGTTAATAATGTTAAACCCTGGTTGAGAGGAGGCAGAAATTGGTGCCAGAGAAAAGGGTGGTGGAGGAGAAGGAAGTACATGCGTCTATGGTCCCCATTGAATCTCTTAACCAGTGTTATGTCTGCCAATTTTTCATGCACTTTGGGGACTTTAAGGACTGCAACAAATCCAGTAGCAGGAGAATCACCCTTGGCAAGGTTACAGCATCACATAACCCCATCAGCTTAAAGTGTCACGCTGTGCTTAGCACATTAGGGCATTTTGTCCATCAGCCCATGTGGGCCTATTAACTTAATTGTTCTTTGTTGAAAGTGACCCATTTGTGTGCGAAGAGACAGTTTGTAATAATAATTCTTCATGAAGGGGAGAATATGTGGCCGAATTGTGCCTGTACCTGCATGTTAACCTCCCCCACCCCCCCACCTTTGTGTACTCGTGTGCATTGCTGAGCGTGCCCCCATGGGTGCTTAGATACATTCTTCCCTAAACACAGAATCCCTAAGGAGGAAGGTACGTTCTGAAATCCCTTCCTTTACTCGTGCAAGTCTCATGCCGCACAAATGAAGATAAAGGTTTTCTTCAATAGCTTTTTAGTTCTTATTTGGCACAGATATCTTTACAGGCACCAAAGGAATCCTTTTCCAGCCTGGTTTGGCCAAAGTCTCTTTTGTTAATCCCCGCAAAAAGCTTCGTTGCTGTGTTGCTCTTAACCACTTCTCTTAATGTCTGTTTCTCTGTGAGCTGATTTCACTGCCTCCCCCCCTCCAACCCAGTTCCCCCTATGGAATATTGAAGGACTGAGCCACCCCCTCCCTCCGCAAACACCCACCCACATCCTTTAATTTCTCTCCCCCCCCACATGCCTGATGCTTTTCTCTTTCTCTCCCTGCTCCCTCTCCCCCCTCCCTTTTATTTTAGGTGACATTGTTCTATTCACCAAACCTGTAACTTTAACAGAGGGTGACAGGGTGACCTTGACGACAGATGTTCTTATGGCAACAGATGGCACTGGCAAACCCGGGAAGCTGCTGTATGCCATTTCTGTGCCACCTGTGCATGGTCAGATTGAGTACATCAATTATCCCGGCGTGCCCATTTCCCGCTACAGCCAGTTGGATGTCGTGGCCCAGAAGGTTTGCTACGTTCACGACAATAGCCATGAGGCTAGCAAGGACTCATTCAGGTGAGAAGGCCTCCCCGATTATCTTCTCTTCTCCCTGCGCTCCCCCCTCGCAAAACCTGGTTTTAAAACATGGGGAAACATATTTCAGGGGGCTAAATGTTAACATAACTTCTGCACGGCTCTCGGTGACCATATTAGAATGCTGAAATGCCTGGCATGAAAATGCAGAAAGTGTGATATGTCCTCTCCTAAGTTCAGCAGCACATACCAGCCATTTATTCACTGTAATGTTTTAAGGCCCCCAGTCAAGAGTAGTGGAAGATGCGCACGCATGGCATTGCAAGATTTTCGTACTGACTTTTTAATGAATTAGCATATGAATTCAGATCCATACGTTGCAGTGCCCCTCCCAGCCGCGCAGCCGCCACATGTATCCGGGGGGCAGCAAAGAGAGACTGCTAATTCTGTTACTGTTGTGCTCCATCTGAAACTGTAGTTGCTATCTGGGGTAGGGTTTTTCTTTTTTTCCAGTCGGTGGGGGGGGGGGGAATCCACAATATTGTCTGAAATCATTGGTAGAAGTTAATCCAGATGGTGGTGTCGTTACTAAAGAAAAGCATATGTTGGCTATTATGGTACTTAAATGTAATGGTTTTATATACCTCGAGTGGGCAGAAGATTGGGGGGGGGGAATACAGCAGAATTTCTTTCTCTCTCTCTCTCTCTTTCTCTCTTTTATACCAAGTACAGCAGAAAATAGATTTCATCTTCCCTTTCTGCTGAATTTCCCAACAGATGTGGCAAGTTTAATGGATTAGAAGCTCATTAATACCATCCTCCTGTAGGAAAGAAGCACCCATATTGCTTAAATCAGGAACAGGATAAGGACTTAATTTATAGCTCACTTGGGTATCGTCCTCTTCTAGGTACTTTGCTCTTTTTCACATACATAGGCGCTAAGCATAAATTATATGCAAACATGAATATTAGGGTCCCGACACCATTTTTTTTGTTAGAAAAGCAGTTTTGGAAGATGATGACAGAGAGCAAGGAAGCAGGGGTCGGGTGAAGAGTTGGGGTGCTTAACTCTTTCCCTGCCTTGCTGAGAGCTTGCAGCTGAAACCCTGTGGATGTGGAAAGCTGCCTGGGACGATTTAGGAAACAAGAGGCAGGGAAGGTGTTTTACTCTCTCCCCACAGCTTCCTCCCCCTCCTTTTCAATCACTGTCTCCTGTTGCTGCTTTTCTAAAAATAAAAATGGTGCTGGTCCCCTTAACTTGTTTCTTCTTCCCAGTTTAAAATCGAAAATTATTTATACTCCCTTTGCTACTAAATGGGCACTCTAACTAATTTTATTCTTGCAGTGATTAAGTGTGTATAATTTCCTAAGAAATGAGTTAAATTAACAAGGGGAAGAAGCAACCCGTAAATCATGTAAACGGTCTTTTTCTAAGTGAGGTTAAGACCATCATTAAATAAATCACAGGCCCTAAAGCATGGCCATTTTTTTCTTTTTCGATTTTGGTATGTGGAAAATATTTTCTTCTTTTCTCCCTTCCTCATTAAACCTTCTCTCTCTCTGCTATGTGTGTGTGGGGTGGGTCAGCTTCATTAGTGTGCTGGTTAATCCTGGTTTGTGGCTTAAAAGGGTGCAGGTACTCTTCCTAAACTCTTAGGGAAGTTCTCCTCTGATCTCTCTCTCTCTCTCTCTCTCTCTCTCTCTCTCTCTCTCTCAGCTCTTCACTCCATTTCTTTCCTGCTTACCAACTTATCTTTCCACTCTTTTCCTGTCCCTAAACTAGCCACTATCATCGTTGCAAGGTTGCCTTGTGGGGCAGGTGTGAGCATTGTGCAATCATAATGATTTTGTGCTCATGATAGTATCAGGGTGATTATATGCAATCCTGTTTTCAGGGCTCCCCACCCCCCACCCCCATCTGCAAAAGCTTTGATTGTTTTCCAGTCAGTCCATGTCCTGTAACTTCCTATTGAGATCCTGTAGCTTTTTAGACCACAAATGTTCTGCGCTGGGTTGTCCCTCTTTGGTACGTGAGTGCTTCAGGTGGCAGTAATGTGGTATACTTGAAGAACCATCACAGAACAGCTAATAAAGCAGAATTGTTTGTAGACTGTCCACCCACCCGAGCGGCTAGTTACGTTGCTGCACTAATGCACAAATATTGTGTCACTGACATATTGCAGAATACACTAGCAACCCACTCACCACAACCAATCTGGAGGGGCCTATGGTTACTTATTGCCCTGTTCCATACAGGACCATGTCTCACTGAAATTAGACTTCAAAGAAAATTTAGATTGTAGTCGACATCTGAATTCATGCTGGCACTGAGTTAATCTCAACTCCTGCTTTAACTTTTGCTCTCTAACATGTGTTTGAGAAACATGTAGGTAAAGAGGCCCGGGTGAGTGACTGCTGAGGTGGAAAACAATTCAAGTCTAATTTCAGTGAGTGGGGAGAGATGGGAGGAGACCTTTATGGGCAACAGGTGTGCCTACAGGTGGTTTCTTGGCAACTTCGGCATTATAGGTGATCAGTAATGTGACTTGATTGAGACTGAGCTTGACCACCATCATGTCTAGATATGGCCCGCTGAGGTCAACGCTGGGTCCAATGGGGAAATGGCGGCTAATATTTTATTTTGTCTGAGATTCAATAGAATTTGTTTTTAATCTTCCGGGAGCTTCCAAAGCAATTGGGCAAGCAAACCCCTGTATTTTAGGATACAGTGCAATTTCATTTACTTGGATATAATACTGATGGCCTACACAGATATGAAGTGTGAGTTTCTGAATGGAGCTGTGACACTGAGGAAGAGGGTGTTGAACTAGGGTTCATTCATGGGATTTTTGCCTTTGCACAAATTTGGAACGTATTAGAATTGTCCGTCTCCAGAGACAGACAGATCCAAATGCTCCTGTGATGACTCTTGGGGATTTCACTCTCATATCTACAATAAAACCTGTGAAAGCCTTGGTTGACCTTTGGAATGCAGAAATGGTGTGAGTGATGGACACTATCCCTCTTGTGCTTAGTAGACCCAATCTACTCTCCACATCACATCTGATTTTGGCTCTTGGTATTTCAAAAGAGAGGTGTCCATACTCGCATCACCCCACTTGCACTGGGAATTTTACATCTTAATGTTAACTGGATGGGGGGGGGGGTGAATGCAGTGGGAAAAGAGAAGGATTCTGAACACAATTTCAGCCACTCTTCTTATTGTATATTCCAAGACTCATTCCTTCTGCTGAAAACCATTCCTGAGGCTGAGCTCCACCTCTGACACAAAACAAGCCCTATCCTGGTGGCCTCTTTTATTCAGATGCCCTTCTGCCTGTTCAAAAAGTGAGGGTTTCATTGACATTGGATGATGTGGAAGGACACCCATGGAATTCAGACAGTTGTGAGATTTGGATAATTGAGGTTCAGATAATGGGAGATTTCATTTTGTCTACACATCTGTTCAGCGTAAAACTTACGTTCTCTCCCATTTTAAGATTAAAAAATAAATAAATTCCCAATTGCTCTCTCTTGGTAGCTTGGAAGCAAGCTGCTGCCATAATGTTGTCAGCTCTCAACCATGTAACTGGATCCAATATCCTTTCCTGAAATGGAGGTTGAACACATGAAAGAGATTACATGCTAAGTATTTGTAGGAGAGGACACCATCTGTATGGTCCTTCCAGTGTTCTGCATTGGATGATTTAACCAGGTACACAGGGAGGTCACTGTGGGGGTGGGAGTGGATATAGAAGCATCTTTCCAGTGCCTACAAAGGGTTAAAAGGAGAGGGGTTAAAATATCCTTTTATTTTTAATTTTATATATATATATATAAAATGTGCACTCTAAATTAATTTCTGCTGGTAATCCTGATCGGGTTAAATAACTCCTCATTATTCTGCTACGCAGCTGAGGCTTCTCAAAATGTTTATCTTGTTTTGTAACTGGTACCTTCTGGCATATTCCAGTGCCAACTCTCGTAGCTCCTGCTATATTTCATTCTCACTATTTTTGGAATGGAGCTGCTGGTTCCAGGTGATTTAATAAATTGCTTTTTTTATTTTTTTTTGTGTGTTCCTTTTAACTTACCCATCTGCGCAACACATGCGTAACTTGCAATCTGTTGGCAGTTTGCAGAAAGACAAACTGTCAGAGCTGCGTGCATTTGACAACTTTGTTCCCAATTAGATTAGTGGTAATTTTAACAGATTTCAGGCCAGTCGGGAGAGTGGAGGGGGGGAGGGGAAAAAGAGAGAGAGAGGGAATGACATGTTATTAAAGCATCAATTTTGACAGACCTTGAGCACATAGAGCATCAGTGTAAATTATATTAAATGCTTTAATTAAAGCTATGAAAGATTTACCCTTTTAAGCAGTAAGTGATTGCACGGCAAATATAAAGGGAAAGTGGATAACAGTTTCCTAAATGGCTTATGCTGTTCGAGACGGTGCACCAGTCGCTTCCTCCAGCGTAATCTATGAGTGTAATGTTGGAGGCATCGTTAATTATTCATAGCCACATCTATGTAGCAGATGTGATTAAAAACATGAAGAGTAGCAGTTGGAGACTGGAGCACTGCCTATTTCTTTTTTAAAAAAAAAAAAGCAAAAGAAAACGCTCCCTTTCAATACAAAGCTGCTTAAAAATTTCCAGAGAATATTTAGTGCTGCAGTTAGATATCTCTGGTTTCGTGTGCACGCACATGCGTGCCCCATAATAAAGAAACTCTTATTGCCGCAGTACAGTGAATTCTTACTGATGCTGTATGAGCTCCAGGGCTCACTTGAAGTTGCCCCATTCATTTCAGCATAGGTAGCAGATCTTACTTACATGTCTGTCCCTGTCCCTGTGATAAATGGATTGGCTCATCTGTTGAAAGGAAGGTATCACTCCACACACCCAAGAGCATAGACCAGGGCATATTGGGTTTGCAGCACTGAACCTTGGACTCCTCTGCATGTTTGTTTGTTTAAGGTATTCATATACTGTGGAATTGTCAGAATTTGTTGCTTGGACTGAAGAGCAGAAGAGAAACT